GTTGTAACCCAATGTCGTGGTTGTTTCGTCTCACAGATACCAGGTTGTAACCCAATATCATGGTTGTGTCGTCAGTGAAAAAACATCAAGACTTCCCACCTTGGTTTATAATGTGAAGCGTTATCTTTGTGCACCACCTACGAGCGTACCAAGTGCCCCTTTATTTCCATCTTGCATGTGTTGCGAGTATAGTGTTTTTATGTGTGTTGCTGTAGAAACAAAATGTAACACTTAAAAATGTAAGAGGGGCAGAAAAGCAAGTGTTCTAGTGTTGTCGGCTTGATTTCTTTGAGTGGAGTGTCCTCTTCGATGATTCTTTGAAGTAACAGGAGTTCGTCATCATTTATGGGTGTCGTATCTGTTCTTTCGTCGTCTCGTGGAAACGGCAGCGGCTGAATGTTTTGATCGACGTTCGGTTTCTTGATTGTCTTTGTTGTTTGATCTTCTGGCGTTGGCCGCCCGGCGTCTGGTTTCGTGAGCTCGCGGGAAACTGGGCGACTTGTAAGGACGGCATTGTTTTCTTCGTCGGCGTTATTTTTGTTTTTGATGTTTCGCCTTGCGGGTTTTCATTTTGACTCTCTGTATTTGTCGTATTTTCCTGTTTAGTACAGCTGGAAATACCTTCAGTGAGACAAAAAGCTGGTCTAATGCTGACAACATGGAACGAAGGTTTTTCATGGAGGTGTGTCAGCACACGAACTAATACGTGCTGCAGGAGATCGCAGATTGTGGCGAGGCATAATCGCCCATGCCAGCCGGTAATAGTGAAAATCACTATTCGGTACAGCCCTAATATGTATATAAACATATAAGCCTAGTTCTTGAATTTTGTCTTTCTGGTGGCACACAACATCGGCACTATTTAATGAAAGCATTATTTTCTGAGTATTACTCTTCTTCTTCTTCTTCTTCTTCTTCTTCTTCTTCTTCTTCTTCTTCTTCTTCTTCTTCTTCTTCTTCTTCTTCTTCTTCTTCTTCTTCTTCTTCTTCTTCTTCTTCTTCTTCTTCTTCTTTCGTTCGCCTGAAATAAGATGTCTATATCAGCAATTTTGTCTCTTGTATAAATTTCACTGTTGTTGCTAATTCATTCAGTAGTCCATAGAGTTTACGTTCCATTGTTGTTCTATCTGACCAAAAGCTTTGCCTTAATGTGTCAAATTCGGTGCAGTCCTGGAGTACATGCTCTGCTGTCTGGGGCACCTTTCCACAGGTGCACATGGCTGATACGCCTATCTTGAATTTTGTGTACATGTGGTTACGTAATCGGTTGTGTCCTGTTCTGAGGCGAAGGATAATGACTTGTTCTGATCTGTCTATAATAAAATAGTCGTCTTGTGCTGGGGTTGGTGGTTTCCTGATTGATTTCATTATTCTTTTCTTTTGGTGGTATGTGACTGGTACATCCGGCTACACTTTTGTTGCACCTTCTCCTGCCAGTATTACTCTAACAAGCGGGAGTCCCCGTGGCGGAGCGGCTAGACGCTTGCCGCGGACATGAACGTCGTGGCTCTCAGGTCCACCCAGCCTTGAGTGCAGTCCCGGGAAATATAGGCGGCCAGCGTGATGTTAACCGCATCTCCCATCTTGTGCCGAGGTCTATTAAAAAATATAGGTCTAGCCCTATACGCCTAAAGGCGTGGAAAAGGGTCCTTTACTTTTTTTTACTACTTTTCGATGAGTACCGGCACCTTTCTTAGACAATGTATGATAAAGCGGGCGCGATGAAGGCTCTCTGGAACCATATGGACAGTGCAATGGAAGGGACAAATAATTCATACATCGAAAGGCCAATTCAGCGCGAAATGAGCAGAGGTTCTGAAAGATATTCTACACTGAACAGGAGGGGACGGGGTAGACAGGCGGACTTTTAATAAGTTTGCAACTGGTACTATTAGCACATCGACTCTTCCTGGCTACTCAAGAAGGGGACGAAGCATCTGTGGGAATGTCCAGAATGCAGTGATGGTAATTCTTGATTAATTCATTCTTAGGCATTTTGTGGTGAGCACCGGCACCTTCTCTTAAAAAAAATCCCTGGGTCCAACACTATATGCCCGATGAACCACAGTCGTCATAATGGCCCTTTACTTACTGAGTATCAGCTATTTTTTTAAAGTAACCAACTTCCGTAAATGTAGATATTCTCTCCCCTCTAGGGTTGCAGATTTTATGAATGACAATCAAACAGGCATACATCCTGTAAACCCTGTTTTACACACTTACATTCAGACTCCTAACAGTTACGTAGTCACCTAAAGACCCGACCAGGCGGGGGAATGGTAATTCCGTTTAGATCTTGTACGTTTCCATTATTGGACGACTCACGACTACAGCCTGTTTATAGATATTTATAGCATTATTTTAAAATAGTACCCATTCAACCAATCACATCACGGTAAAGTATGCACGTGATCTTGATTATCCAATCATCTTGTGTCGTTGGGATGAAGGGAATTTCCCTAATGTTCTAACATACAAGGAAAAGTTTACCAAAAATTCCTGCTGTTAGGGACGGGATTAAGTCAGACAACAGAGCTGTCAATGTAAGCGTACGTTCTATTTTTTTTTCTGTAATTACATGTTTGTTTTAAATATGGAAGCTGATTATCTGAACGCCGTGCTTGATTTGTGTAGTCCTGGCTTATGGAAGTCTTCTGTGTGATGTTATACTGACTGTTATAGCTACAGGACAGGCTACTCTAAGACATTGAAATGACAGCCAGGGAACTAAAGAGTTATAATTATAATTAAGAGTAAAGAAACTACTTGACTAGAAATGTAAAAAGACAACATGAAATAATGCTGTCCGAATGGGTATTCAAAACATAACGTTGAAGTTGTCCGTGTAGCGTTTATAAAGTTAATTTCAATTATAAAATTGGCAGGCGATATTTTTATTTTTAAAATCAAATAATAATAATTGTAAAACTAAAACGAAAACATTAGCCTTAGTTGTCATCATCCCCATCTTCATTTGTCGTCCAGGTTGTATCACAGTGTTATGGATTTCTGTATTTGCTCTGCTGGAACTAGTAACGAACTCAAGCCCAGCTCCGCATATCTACACACTAGGTGACTTGCCATTGATGATTGGTCAGGCTGGTCTACGTTAGAGGGGTGTAGAATGTACTCTCTCGTCGGACCTAGGTTCAGTGTGTGGAGTAGAAAACTTGGGGTTATTGCCAGTTGTACATGTTATGGGGTCATTAATACCGCTAACATCCTGTAATATAGAGCATGCGTGGTCTCCAGTAAGACTGTCGAGACAGGACAATCTGACATCCCTGCCTTAAACTTACCCATCTCAAAGGTTAACACACATGAATGAACATCCTATCACAGTGTCCTGGCCGGACTCCGTCAATCATAAGTGTGTAGGTGGGCAGAACTGGGCCTGAGTTCGTTACAAGTTCCGCCTTGCGCTTCTTGGGTAGCCTAGGTGGTGTCATAATGATAAAATATTAAAGGACACTCAATATTATTGATTTTAAACAATAACGTGGTAGTAGAATGATATAGATATCATTGACTTAAAAGGCAACTTTACAAAATCCTCTGTCAGTCATATGAAGAATATACTATAGCAATTACCTCTCTTTTTGTACATATATTTGTGTGTATGTATATATAAAGACTGTGTTTGTATATTAGACCTTTATTTTATAGACCAGTCGGTGTGTTGTAGGGGATATAGTCTGTATCACGCCAGCCACCTTTATTTCCCACGACTTTACCTGGTACCCATTTAAGGTTGGGTGGTCCTAGAAGCCAAGGTGATTTAAAAAAAGTCTGGCTCCATTTGGATTTATACCGATGACCTTTGGATCCACAGGTGAGTGTCTGGCTGTTACACATTTTAAAAATTATTAATTATTCAAAATATATATTTATAAATATTTAAATATAAATTAAATTTTTTATATATATATATACACACACACACACACATACACACACACACACACACATATATATATATAACTTCAACTTGAAAGATCAGTGAAAAAAGGGGTAGAGGCAGACCAAGAGAGAAGATACTGGATGGGCTGAAATGATGGCATGGAGGGATATCATCCAGAGAGTTGTTCCAGGCAACCACAGGTACCAAGAAATATTATAGGAAGTAAAGATGGTTGGTGTGATTTTGACCACTTCAGCCATCTATTGCCAGCTGGTCTATACAAATATGCCTGAGTGGCTGCCATGATTTTGCGGCTAGATGCTCCCTTGCGGATCAGAAGTTCATGGGTTCACTTCCTGACCGAGCCTGACTTTTAAAAAAAAATGTTCTTGGCTCCCAGGTCGACTCAGTCTCAAATGGGTACCAGATGCAGTCCTGGGAAGTAAAGATTGCTGGGGTGATGTTGACTTCATCACCCAGTGATTGCCAGTTGGTCTTTAAAATATAAGTATAGCCATATATGCTTAGTACGCTTGAAGGCATGGAAAAGGGTCCTTTATTTTACCATATACCTGATGCAGCAATGGCGTGAAAGGGTCCTCGACTGATTTTAAAATAACAGCAACCGTTACTTTCAGCAAAACCAGTTAAAAGATGTTTTATTAAAAAATATCAGTCCCCAAGGAAGAATTAGAAAATAGGGGCTTCTGATCATAATGTTGCGGAAATATTATCCATATACCATGGACAGAGATGAAAAGAAATTCTGGAACCTTAAAAGTTCTGAACATAAAGGAAGATTGGCTAGTAAACAGCATCTTGTCTCAGAAACTGAAATATTTTGGCTATATCAAGCACAACCTGGGGATTGGTTTAAAAAATATAATACCAGAAAAGGCATGGTACAAGGAAAGAGGGACAGGGGCCAACCAGCACGAAGATGGGCACAGGATGTAAGTGGCACAAGGTTGGAGAGCTGGCGAGAGGCCCAGTTTCTTTCAGGAAAACCGTGATGAGAGCGACATTAAACATCACCATAAATGTATGATGACGAATCTAAAATGTACTCATTTTTGTCTCTTCTTAGGTGACGGTAACAATGAGCATTTTTGGGTGCACCACAAATGAAACAGATTATCTCAATGAGAACAACTTACCTGTGGAGCTGCAGACTCCAAATGTCATTAATCCTGTGTATAGTGTGTCGGCTGTTCAGTCCAGTAATGGACTTGTGAAGACTGGTACCGGTGTTGGTTATAATGGTAAGTAAACATACAGTACTTTATTAATATCCTACCCCAGATGACGTCACAGGACAGTCCAACATTTTAGAGGGTGGTAGGGCTTTCTTATGCTTTTAACGACGCCAAACCATTTAGAACTGGCCCTAACCCCAACCCACCAACATTCCACGAGAGAGTGGTGCCTAGGTCCTACGACTGCATGCAGCCTAGGTTCCATGACAGCATGCAGCCTATCTACCACCCCCTGAAATATTAGACTGTTCCATGACCTGTGGATTTCCCCTGTTTGGGGTATGATATTAATAAAGCACCCATCATACTTTCTTACTTGGCTGCTTTCTACTTAGTCGCTCCTCTTCTACCTTGGGATGTAGAGGTTTGCCAGAGAGATTGCCAGACTTCTCTATCAGCAGTTTTTTTTTCCCTGACTTTGTTCCATTCGTCTGTTAGTCAGGACCTGACGGATGTTCTCTTCCCGGCGGACACTGGGTTGCCCTGGAGGTCTTGTTTCCTGATTCTTACCCTCCTATGCCTGCCATGGTGGCCGATTGTTTCCTATTTTGCATACATGTCGTGACCGATTCACTCGAGTTTGTAAGGCCTGGGTTTCAAGGTTATGACATATTGTCTGACTGCGAACTTTGTCCCTTCTTCTCACTTGGACCACCTTTCTCAGATATCTCATTTCTGAGGCTTGAAGTTGACTTCTGTAAGTTTTTGTCATTGTCCATGACTCACACCCTTAGGTCAGGATTGACACATAGGTAAACAACCATTATCGTCCTCTTGCCAATGTCTGTTTTGCTAAGAAAACCCCGGTTTATGATCTAGAAGAGTCTCCCAGCAGCTGCTTTTCAAGTAGCCAGCTCTGTCTTAATGCCTTCATGTTGGCCTATTATAACTCCAAGGTATTTGAACTGTTAAGTAATCGAAAAGGTTCCTTTTTTACGAAACCCTGGAGCCGCCATAGTGAAGTGGCTAGATGCTCGCCTGACCTCAAATGTCATTAATCCTGTGTATAGTGTGTCAGCTATTCAGTCCAGCAAATAACTTGTGAAGACTGGTACCGGTGTTGGTTACATTGTTAGTAAACATATAGATATTCCTTTTTATGACACTCCGGAGCCACTATAGTGTAGTGGTTAGACGTCGAAATGACAGTCTGAAGGTCTAAGATTCAAATCTGCATCAGTGGGGATTGTTTCACAGATCTGACTGACTTTCTACCCCACCAGGACATCACACAAGCGATAAACACCAGATGACACAATGTGCCACCATGTGGGTGAGGATCACTGTGGAGAGGTCCCAGAAACTGGGTTCAGCCTTTAGGCCATATTTATGGCCAGGCTATATTGCGGCCTCTGGCAAGAGTCAGAGTAGGGCTTCAAATAATGAAAAATTTCATCCTAAAAAGGACGAGAAGTATTAATCCGCGATATTCACTGATCTACTTTTCATTCTGTTTTATGTCTTACCATCTTAACTTATCTTGTACCAATCTATAAATGTTGTTTTTCCAGGCACCCGGCCAGGTGAACCTTATGTGGAAATATCGGAGCAGCCTCAGCAGCGTGGCTTCCGATTTCGCTACGAGTGTGAAGGGCCTAGTCATGGGGGACTTCAGGGAACCAAGAGTGAGAGAAGTCGAAAATCATATCCCACAATAAAAGTAAGCATGTGGGTGTAAAATAATTATGTAGTTGGTCACAACTTTGCATTTGACTCACCATGTAGCAGGTGTAACTCTCATCACAGTCTGCCTGAAAGAAACTCGGTCTCTCGTCAGCTTTCCCGCCTCATGTATTTTCATATTCAAGGAGTCACTAATATCCTGTGCTATTATTTTTCTCTAATCCACTATGGTGCTTGATATGACAAAATATATTGTTCAGCTTTTGAGACATGATGCTGTTTATTAGGCAATCTTCTTTGGTGTTCAGATCTTTTAAAATGTCAGTATTTCTCCTCTTCTTTGTCGATTATATTCTGAGAATCTTTCTATAGCATTTCAGCTCAAAAGCCCTTTTTTTCTATCTCAGGGACTGGGAGATAGCCCACGACTCACATCCGTATGTTGCTACAGGGAAGATGCATGCTCTCAAAGTGTTAATTTTGATCTCCTTGCTGGTGCTTAACCGTAGACTTTTAATGCTGTTTAATCTTTGCTTTGCTATGACCATGATCCTTTTGATTTCTGTCAATCAGTCTCCTTCTTCTTCTTCTTCTCTTCCACCTTTTACCTCATCGAAGTGTCGGGGGGAGATGTAATGTTCGTTGATGAGCTATGTTAAGAGGTCTTCCACTCGCTCTATACTCGTTGTAACGTTTTAGTGTGGCTCGCTGTGGCAGATAGTACCAGGGCATTCTTGTTAGGTGTCCAAACCACTTCATTTGTTGTTCTTTCATGACCTGTAAGACTGGCTTTATTCCTAGCATTTGTCTGATTTCATGATTTTGTATTCTGTCTTTCATTGAAACTCCTGCAGCTCTTCTAAGGCATTTCATTTCTGTTGTCACAATTTTTCGTTCATTGGAGGATGTAAGTGTCCACGTTTGGCATTGATAGTATAAAACAGTCTCCACTGCTATTTATTATAGAGCCTAGATATTCAAAATTTGTGACATTTTAAATTTCTTCATCATTTATTGTTATGTTTAGGTGACAGTCAGTTTCGTCTGTGGACATTATTTTAGTTTCCTTGTAGCTGACTGATAACAGATACTTTTAACTAGATTTATGCAGAAACTGGAGCAGATTTTTAAATTTTTCTTCGAATGTCTTGCTGCCTGGATATGCTTATATTTCTAATATTCCTTTTTTTTTCTGGTTCTTCTCTTTTAGCTACTAATTTTGAAAAAAAAATAGTTCCTTCTCTCGTTCTTTTTTTGTGTGTGCTTCTACTTTTCCTTTATCCTTTAGTTCAGCGGTTCTCACCCTGTGGGCTGCGACCTTTTTGTGGGTTGAATGACCATTTCATAGGGGTCACCAAAGACCATCGGGAAACACATGTTCACTGAAGTTATGAAGTAGCAACGAAAATAATTGGATGGTTCAGGGTTGCTACAACATGAGGAACTCTATTGAAGGGTTGCCACATTAGGAAGGTTGAGAGCCACTGCTCTGGTGATGATTCTTTAAAACAGTTCTCTTCCCTTGCTACATCTTTTTTCTCATTTCTTACTTTTTTTAAAAATTATTTTATTTTATTTTCCTTCACTTCTTTCTTCACTCTCTCCTTCTTTTCTTCCTTTTGCTGCTTCTACTCTCTCTTTCCACCTGTCCCTCTCACTTCTACATCTGATGCAACAGAAATTTGGTTTCTAGAGAAAATTCAAAGAATAGATTGTGCACACAGAATACAAATGAGAAAGTCCTTTGTGAATGAGATTAAAACTGCAAAATTGATTACGGTGTAGACATTCAATATTTTATAGATAGTATGAGAAGAAAACTTTGTGACAAACACGACAAACTTGGTAGATAAGATGAGACACTTTTGTTACTGCCTGTAATTACCAGTGTTTGGGGGGGGGGGGGGGGGGGGGGTCTTTGTTCTCCCTCAAAAGGAGGCTGGTACATTGTGTTGTAGTTTACAGCTAGGATGAGATATCTGCACTTTTTTGCACAACAAATCCGATTTCAGCAAATCTTAAGTTTAGTGTCTCTTAGTTACATAAGAGCAATCTCTGTACAGTGTTCTCGGTCATAGTTCATTCTGAGACAGTGATTGAATGTCAGAATTTGAGTTCTACGGCAGTTTTTCCCATTGAAAAATAATGGAAACAATTAATCTGTTCCAGGGTCCAACAAACTCACATTTGTTATGATGAGATCTTTTTTAATAGCAATTTTTGCTCTCACAGTTTTTCTCTTACTTTGCTTTTCAAAATTACAAATTTTACCAGCCATAACTTTTTCTTCTTCTTCTTCACGTTCACCAGCTGTACACTCTGGCAGAAAGTTCTGGTTGATCGTCCACTACTGAACTGCAGTCCTGCTCCAGAACCTGAGTGTTGCGTGTGCATCAGTTTTACAGATCTCATTCTCTTGAATACAGACTGTTGGTTCCTTGCCTCTCCGGCAGATGCACTCCGACTTCAAAGGAAGCTCCCCAATTAGTCGACTCCTACGACATGCTTTTTGGGGAGGCAGTGGGTCTATTTTCCCCACAATGGAGCCCCGGAACCCACACGGGGGACCAGCCATAACTGATTCACTAAATGGTTTGAAAGGAAAAAATTTTTTTTTTTTAATTAGCTGAGAAAATTGCGACACATTCAGCAAAGCGTATGGAAACGCACTGAAGCATAGGTGTCGCTGTGTCATAGCACTTGGCTGGCACTTGCTTGGTTTTCATTATCCATGGTAGTGTTCAAGTTCCATGGCAAAACTTACTTGAAAATTTGGTTGAAATCCCAAGTAATTTGAATTTTAAAGTGTTTGAATGCTGACGTACCGCTGTATTATATATACATACAGCTGCCTGTCCTTAATGCAGTGTTTCCCCAAATGTTCTTAGTCGCAGCGCCTTTTTCCAATTAAAATGATTCCACAGCGTCCTAACCTAAGTAAAAGTATGACTATTCGTATGTAAGAGATAAAAGGAAAAAAACAACAACTTGTGTATCTTCAAATGTTTTGCGGCATCCCTGTCAAGAGATCGTGGCTCCCCGGGTCGCCACAGCGCACAGTTTGGGAATCACTGCCTCAATGTATGTATTGTCTTTGTTTCAGATTTGCAACTACAGTGGTGCTGCAAGGGTGGTTGTCAGTTTAGTCACAGACGAGAAGACGCCGCGAGCTCATGCCCACAAGCTTGTTGGAAGTAACTGTAAAAATGGACTCTGTACAGTAGAAGTTAAAGCAAATGTAGAACCTGTCAGGTAAATATGCCTTCAATATTTGATCATAAACTCCTAAACTGCAAATCTTCTGATTGATTATAAGCACCCCCGTGTGGGTTCCGGGGCCCCATTGTGGGGAAAACAAGAATAGACCCACTGCCTCCCCAAAAAGCATGTCGTAAGAGTCGACTAATTGGGGAGCTTCCTTTAAAGTCGGAGTGCATCTGTCGGAGAGGCAAGGAACCAACAGTCTGTATTCAAGAGAATGAGATCTGTAAAACTGATGCACACGCAACACTCAGGTTCTGGAGCAGGACTGCAGTTCAGTAGTGGACAAGCAACCAGAACTTTCCGCCAGAGTGTACAGCTGGTGAACGCGAAGAAGAAGAAGAAGAAGAAGATTATAAGCTCATAAACTGAAAATCTTCTGATTGATCATAATTCATAAACTGGAAATCTTTTGAATGATCATAAACTCATAAACTGGAAATCTTCTGAATGATCATAAACTCATAAACTGGAAATCTTCTGAATGATCATAAACTCATAAACTGAAAATCTTCTGAATGATCATAAACTCATAAACTGGAAATCTTCTGAATGATCATAAACTCATAAACTGGAAATCTTCTGAATGATCATAAACCCATAAACTGGAAATCTTCTGAATGATCATAAACTCATAAACTGGAAATCTTCTGAATGATCATAAACCCATAAACTGAAAATCTTCTGAATGATCATGAACCCATAAACTGAAAATCTTCTGAATGATCATAAACGAATAAACTGAAAATCTTCTGAATGATCATAAACCCATAAACTGGAAATCTTCTGAATGATCATTAACCCAAAAACTGAAAATCTTCTGAATGATCATAAACCCATAAACTGAAAATCTTCTGAATGATCATAAACCCATAAACTGGAAATCTTCTGAATGATCATAAACCCATAAACTGAAAATCTTCTGAATAAATATAAATATAATATATAAGTAAACTCATAAACTGGAAATCTTCTTATTGGTCCCCAACTCATAAACCGAAAAACGTCTGATTGATCATAAACTCGTAAACTGAAAATCTTTTGATCGATCAATAACTCATAAACTGAAAATCTGTTATCATATTAAACACCATAAAAGACAGCTGTGTGGTTGACGATGAAGGAAAACGACAACCTAAAGAAACCTGGAGAAGGACAGTATAAAAAAAAATGAGGAAAGGGCTTTACTTAAACAGTATTAGAAAAAAACCTGTTTTGGATGTTAAATCACTTAGACAAATTGGAACTCATTAGATAGATGTGTTAACCGTGACATGAAAAGGATATAGATAGATATTAAACACCATAATGGTTTGGAGATAACAGCAATGGAAGGTATGGTTCCTGAATGAAGAGGCAGGAGTCGACCAGCACAGTGATGAGCACAGGATATCAATGACACACTGGGTATGAAAGCTGGCAGAGAACCATCCTGCCATGATGAGAGCAATGTTCTGCAAAGGACCTGCTACATGCTGATGATTAATCATCAAATCCTGGCCATATTTTAGAGACCCTGTTTGCACATGCAGCATGATCTCTCCCTCATCCCACCTTGTTCACTTTGAATGAAAAGTACCACAATGCGTGTCGCAGCAGAAGCTGCCAGATCAGAGTAGCAGTGGAAATGAGCAATCTGATCAGTTGCAAGGGGAAGGTGCGACAAAAGAGCAGCCGGTTGTACCAGTTAGGTACCACCAAAAGAAAAGATCATTAAATCGATAAGGAAACCACCAGCCCCAGCACAAGAAGACTATTATGGACAGATCAGAACAAGTCATTATCCTTGGCCTCAGAACTAGGCACAACCGATTACCTAACCACATGTACACAAAATTCAAGATAGGTGTATCAGCCCTATGCACCTGTAGAAATGTGCCCCAGACCGCAGAGCATGTACTCCAGGACTGCACCGAATTTGACACATTAAGGCAAAGCTTTTGGCCGCAAAGAACTACAGTGGAACGTAAACTCTATGGAGCGGACTAAAAACAACAGTGAAATCTATATGAGAGACCAAATTGCTGATGTAGACAACTTATTTCAGGCGAACAAAAGAAGAAGAAGAAGACAAACAGCAGTGTTCCTTCTGTTCACCTCCTATAGCTTTCCTCCTAGACAGTTGTCAGTCTAATCAGTAGATTTGTCATAATGACTGTGACTACTTGTTTTTGCAGCTTTGCAAACTTGTCCATTCTACACGTAACCAGGAAGAAATTAGTCGACGTGTTAACGGAGCGCATACTGGACTCCATCATACTGAACAAGAAGCTCAAGGCTAACAATATGAACTTTGACCCACCTTTGACAGGTACTTAGATCATACTTGCTATTTATTTTAGCAAAAGGTAGATTAAAATTGGTATGTTTTGTAATGTAGGTTACTAGGCTTGTAATGTCTGGTTGTATGATTGATGTAAATTATGATGTATTTTAGTGTAGTAGGCTTCAGTTGTGATGTGTAGTAATTTAGCAAATGAGACATATAATAGTTGGTTGCATTGTAGGCTTAATTTATGTTGTTTGGTAGTTAAGAAGACTTAACTTGTAATGTTTAATAGTGTAGCAGATAGGACATGTAATGGTTGGTTGGAAGGTTTTTCTCCTGTTGGGGGATGGAAAGGGGTGGGGGGATAGTAATAAAGGATCTTCCTTTTTCTTTCCTTGAGATGTATTGGGTATATGGTGCTAGCCCACTAATTCTTAGGGCCATTCGGCACTTGATGAGTGATGTCGTCAATAACACACTGAAACTATTGATTCACTCTGGGAGTCCAAGTTAGTTTAAAAAACAGATCCTAAACTTGGAGGTATGTTTGAACAAACAACATCTGTACCACATTGTACCAACCATCAAGCATTTTTGCCACTGTATTACCACAACTGTTTTCAATATTGGAGGTAAGAAAGTAGTAAGTAAAGGTCTTTTTTTTTTACGGCAGTGGCAAATTGGGCATATTTTGCTAGACTCAAATTTTGTGTGGATCTTTTGACACTCACTGGGTAATGTGATCAGTATCATGCTGGATGTCTTCACTCCCCAGGACATTTCCTGATACCTGTTTTAGACTGGCTAGGCTTGGGTGCCGATAAATATAAATTTTTCTAAATCGACCATGTGCGGATTCACACCCAAAACCTATGAGCTGGCAGGCGAGCATCCAGCCACTACGCCGTATCAGCTTCCCAGTAATTTTATGTAGCACAAAATATATACCTAGTATGCACACATATTAACCTACTTGCATTTGGTAAATTTCAGATGAAGACAAAAGAACGGCCAGGCAACAAGCAGAGGAACAGTCCAAGACAATGCAGCTGAATGTAGTCAGATTATGCTTCCAAGTTTTTCTTCGTAACGTGGATGGTTCTTTCAGCACCATGCTGACTCCAGTTGTCTCCCAGCCAATCTATGACAGCAGTATGTGTCCTCTCTTCTACACTTTGCCAGCATCTTGTTATTTAAAATTATTTTTAAAATAATAACTTAATTTTGGAATCAGAAGATGTGCTGGTTAATTTAAAGTGCTAATATACAAGATAAAATTTGACTAGAAAGCCTATCAGAGGGAATGGAAAAGATGCTGACAAATACAATCGAACATTTCAGTCTTTTATCAGTACAAACTGTGACTAGAAAACCCAACGGACAAGACCACCCCTTGACATATTGGACTGTCTGTTTGGGGTGAATTATTACAAAAGCACCTAAAAGGAAAATAAAGACCAATGAGGAATCACTTAATCTCATGGTATATAAACTGAAACTATTTAAAACTGGTGCCCATGAAAGAAGCAGAGAATACTGACACTGTAGTCTATCCTGCTTGTCGAAAGAGGTAGTCAAGGACGATTAGCATGAAACTGGTACCGTCATCCTCTAGAAAACTTTAGCTACGAAGTGCAACAACTGAGGAAGAAGTCTACAAAGAGCTTGGTTTGAGTTGTTTGAGGAACTAAAGCTGTTGAGACAGTGGTACAGTTGAAAAAACAAACATGTGTGTGCCATCTTCACAAAAGAACTTGACTGTAGTGAATATGTGCATCTATTGCCATCTTTTAAATCATTACATGGTGAGGTCCACAGTGTGACCTTTGTACCAGGGTCCTAAAGCCATGAGGACAGTCTTTTTCTAAACTCCATGCATCAGAAATCCTGGTATGTCATTGTTCTTCTTATAGTCCAAGCATTTGTGTTGTTGGTAGACATGTTACTAGCAGATACCATGGAGTGAATCTTATCAGAACTATTTTTTGGCCAGCACTATGCTATCAGTGCTAAACGTGGACACTTTTATCCTTCAATGAACGTAAAATTGTGACAACGGTGATGAAAGGCCTTAGAAGAGCTGCAGGAGTTTCAAGGAAAGACAGAATACAAAATCAGACGAATGCTAGGAATAAAGCCAGTCTTACAGATCATTAAAGAATAACAAAGTGGTTTGGACACCTAACAAGAATGCCCTGGTACTATCTGCCACAGCGAGCCCCACTAAAATGTTACAATGGGTATAGAGCGAGTGGAAGATCTCGGAAAAGAGGGAGTAATAGCATTAAGAACAACCTTACAGAAGTGAACATCAGTCCTAATAGTGCTCTTGACATGGCTCATCAACGAATGTTACATTTGCCCCGACACTTCAATGAGGTACAAGGTGGAAGAGAAGAAGAAGAAGAAGGAGAAGAAAATTCGGAAGAAGAAGGTAGGCATATTTTTATGCACAACTTTCTGCATTATGTACTTTCTCTGCCACTTTAGAATAATTGTTCACTTTTCCAACTGTCCACGATTGCATCAGAGCATGATTTATAAAGCTCTTGAGAATTCTCTTGCTGGTCTGAATTGACAAGAAAAGATTCCATAAAATATTTTTCATTTTGTTAAATGCTGCCTTTGCTTGAGCTGTTCACATTTAATTTCTTTAACACATCTTCCGTCTAGTGTTATTAAGGTACCCAAGTACTTAAACTTATCAACTTGCTTGAGCATTGTCCCTTGACAATGCTGCATTTTGGGGATCCATTTTCTTTGTAATAACCATTAGTTCTGTCTTTCTGCTATTCAAACTAAGACCATTGTTTTGTCTTTTTATGACAGTTATTTCCATCGTCAACATATCACAGATATGTCATATATTAATTATAATAAATGCATCCTAAATCTGTAAATGAAAAGAAAAACATCTTGGCCACAGAGCCAAAGAATGTGTTTATGTTCATTTTCAGACTTTAGTATTATTATTTCTTATATTACTGTTATAGAATCACCTGGCGCCTCAGCCCTCAAGATTTGTCGTATGGACAAGTATGGCGGCTGTTGCTCTGGTAACGAAGAAGTCTTCCTTCTGTGTGAAAAAGTTCAGAAAGGTTTGTGTGTCTTTAAAAAACAACCAGTTAAAAGATTTAGTAGGTAACATATTTTTTTGTATAGCTATCATCTTCATCAGTCAGAAAGTTCTTTACAGAAAGTTGCTGTTATCGCGTACGCCTGAAAGTCTTACTCTGTCTAGCCAGTTCTCCAACCCTGTCTTCTTTCACAGACAATTTATCTTCATTGTCTTGTATCCACCTTTGAGGAGATTAGCTTCTGCCTCTTTTTCCAGAAACAACCTTTCATCACTGTCTTCTCCAGGCCATGGCATTCAACATGACCAAAATACCCCAGCTTTTGGAACAGGATGCTGTTTATGAGCCAATTCTCCTTGATGTTAGGATCATGCAGGATGCCAGTGTTTGTTTCCTTCTTGGTTCCACTTTATTCTACACATTTTCTGTATGATTTCAGTTCAAAAGCTGTAATGTTTTTCTCACTGATTGAGTAGGAGCTCCCGACTCCCATCCATAACCTCACTGATTGAGTAGGAGCTCCCGACTCCCATCCATAACCTCACTGATTGAGTAGTAGCCCCCGACTCCCATCCATAACCTCACTGATTGAGTAGGAGCTCCCGACTCCCATCCATAACCTCACTGAATGAGTAGTAGCCCCTGACTCCCATCCATAACCTCACTGATTGAGTAGGAGCCCCTGACTCCCATCTATAACCTCACTGATTGAGTAGGAGCCCCTGACTCCCATCCATAAGTTGCCACAGGAAAGATGCATGCTCTGAAGTGTATAAAACAATGAAAAAATATCAACTAGAGCTGAAAGTAGAATAAGTAGGTTTTCCTCCATAACAGCGCAGTCATGAGTTACAAAATGTGTATTGCAGGTAAAGCCTTCAGCAGGTTACAGCAGCATGGACAATTGTAAAACTAAATATAAAAAAGATGACAGACTGAAGTCCACTCCTGATCAAATTGTCTTTTTTCTTCTTCTTCATCTATTCCATCTTGAACCTCAGTGAAAGGGGAAGGGGGGGGGGGGATGTAATGTTTGTTGATGAGCTCTATCATGTGCACTATTAGGACTGATGTTCATTTCTGTAAAGCTGTTCTTAATGCCATCACTCCATCTTTTCCGAGGTCTTCTCACTCTACACTCATTGTAATGTTTCAGTATGGCTCACTGCGGTAGATAGTACCAGGGCATTCTTGTTAGGTGTCCAAACCACTTCATTTAATTGTCCATCCATAATGGAAAAACTAGGTTTTCTAGCATAAATCACGATGAGTTATGATTTCTGAAAGCTTTCTGCATGGTGATAATCTCTTTGTAAACCTTCTCAGTCATAGTTATTTGCTGCCAGTTAGTAATATTTTTCTTGTATGTAATTTCACTACTGCTGTGTTAGCTGAAACATGAAAAACAACTAAAGTATTTACCAAATGACTGCAAATGTTTATTAATTAGTACCTGCACAGAATAGAGGGAATTAACTCTGTGACAGAAAGTTTTTTTTTTTATTCTGGACATTTTTGTTTTCATTCAGTGTGGTGCAAAACTGCAAAATATTATGGGTTTATATTAAATATTTTTGAAGCTGTAGAATTTTCTATAGTCTTTTTTGCTGTTAAGAAAAAAAATTTGTTGTTTGCATTGTTTGCACCAATCTACAGCCACATGATGTTGATCTCAAACAAGATTACTAAGTTCTTGTTCTTGAAAATTGTTCTCCATTCAGTTTGGTGCAAACATACAAAATATTATAAGTTTATATTAAATAGTTGTGAAGCTATGGCAGTTTTAGTACACACTAAAAAAATATGTGGTATCTGGGAAAGTGCAAGGGTGAATAGGGTAGTAGTCAGTGGGTTAAAGGTATGCTGAAATCAGATGTGGTTGGTCAAAAGGGCACATATTTTGCAGCTTAACTGTAAACCACAACACAGTGTGCTAACTGTCTTTTTAGGGACAAAAGCCCAAGAATGGTTAAACATGTAGCAGAGGTCATGGATAGCTAGCGTCCTTAACCTTTAGCACCCCACAATAAAAATCGAACTGGCTCAGAAAAATTGATCACACAAACCTACTCTCGGCCTCCTAGCAATCAAAACAGACAAAGAGGAAGTGAAACCACTCTAGAATAGTTATTTATAGTTTTCAAGTGACGTCACACGTGTAGCTCCGTTTAGGCTTCGTATTCCCCAACCATATATAGATGTTGAGTATACTCGACTGTGGGACGCTACGAGGTGGGCGGCTGAAGTCCAATATACTCGACTGTGGGGTGCTTAAGGCTAAGATATTTTCTCTGAGTCATGCCGGTGTGTTGGGAAATGAGCAAGCAGATAGACTGGCCAGCTCTGCAGCACTTGGTGGTGAACTGATGTATGACAAGTTAGATGTTGTGAGGGCTATTTGGGAGTGAGTAAATAGTGAGGAGGCACAAATTGATCATTACGGTCTGAGGAGAATGAGTTTGCGAGGAGTTACCAGGGGATCTGGCCGACACTCTATACTCAGGGGAAAGGCAAGACAGATACACAATCAGACAGTTGCTGGTGCCATCGGAATTGGAACTCTTTGCTTGCTGCTGAAGATGGGGACAGAGCACTTATGGGAGTGCCCGATTGCTGTGATGTCGATTCTTAATTCAACATTCAGCATGCATCAAAGATGATCCGGCAACTAACTTCTGCTGGAAGAGACTGAACACTTAGCCAGGGTATATTAATGTTGATTCATCATTATAAATCAGTTGAATGTCCACATCTTCAGCAGCAAGCGAAGAGTTAAAATTCTGATGGTGCCAGTAACTGTCTAATTGTATATCCGTCTCACCCCTCCCCCGAATGTCGAGCGTCGGCCAGATCCCCTTGTAACTCCTCGCAGAACCATTCTCCTCAGACCATAATGATTGTCTGTTCCTTGGCACTGTTCACTCACTCCCAAAGGGCCCTCACAACATCCAGCTTGTCATATATCAGTTCACCACCAAGTGGTGCAGAACCGGCCAGTCTATCCGCCTGCTCGTTTCCCAACACACCAGCGTGACCTGGAGAAAATATCCAAAGGATGCTAACTACCCGGGACTTCTGAAGTGATCAGTTTTGACAGCCACAGTTTGTTGATGAGCTTAAATCTGCCTTGTAGATGACAAATCAAGTTTTACTTACAGAATGTTGAATGTACTTACAGATGACATCCAAGTGAGGTTTGTAGAGCAGAATTCAGATGGCTCTGTCAAATGGGAAGCATATGGAAACTTTGGTCCACTTGATGTCCACCGACAGGTTAGTAAGACCAGCTTATGTGTTGTCTTCACTAGGATGTTGGAGGTTGAAGTGGGGAAACATTGGTGTAAACTTTAGGGTGGAATTTGTGAGGTATAAGTTCTCAAAGGTTATGTGTCTTTACTTGTAGAATCTATTTCCTTGATGACAGATTGAGGTATATTGATGGTATGTGGGACATAATGTCATAACTGCCAAGTATCTTTACTTGTAGAATATATGTCCTGGATGGTAGATTGGGGAATATTGATGGTGTGACTTGCTAGAGTTGCTTCAGATTTGTACATTATAATATGCCCTGATTTGTTTTGTTGCATTTGAGTATGTTTTTAATATCCACAGTACGCCATAGTGTTCAAAACACCAGCCTACTGGAACACCAACATCGACAAAGCTGTCAATGTTCTCATCATGCTGCAGCGCAAGACTGACCTGGAGGTCAGCGAACCAAAAGCTTTCACATACTTTCCACAAAACAGAGGTACAACCTTGGTTTATTACTGTATCCTTATTCTATCTTCTCTGTGTTTCTTTCACTTTTGTTCCTTGTTGTTTCTCTTTTTCTTCAGCTTACTGCTTGATTTGTTAGTCATAAAGTTGACTGTGGTTTTTACCAGACTCTCCAAAAAAAGAAATAAGTCGATACTCAATTTTTGTGTTGTGTAATGTATCCTCCTATTTCTGTCCACACCCCCTCCCCCTCACCAACTGCTTCTGAGAGTACAATTCAATACTTATAAATCATTCTTCTTCGTCTTCTATACTTCCTTTTTTTTTTACTGTTCTAGAGGTCAACAAGTATGTAAGGTTCTCTTCTGGCCGTCTCAACCATAGACATGATACTGTTGTAGAGTTTCTCTGGTGTTATCTATGTTGTTCTTGGTCTACCTCATGATTGAAATCCTTCTCCTCTTTATGCTTTGTGCAGTATGGCATCACAAGGCATTCTCTCTAAGAGGAAAAACCGTTTAATTTGCTGTCTTTGTATACAGTTTAGAATTGGTTCTGTGGCCACTTATTCTCTTATGACCCATTCCTGATTTATCTAATTTCCATGGATACTAATTTTAAAATATGCTTTGTATGAGATGTTTCTTTCTGCTGATCAAGATTGTCTCATGATGGGGGGGGGGGGGGGGGGGGTGTTGGGGGAAGTGTGTGTTCACTAGCTATCCCAGTACTTATTTTACTGTACTGCATGATCATTTCTTTATTCATTTTCCCATCTGCATCGAATGTTGTTCCCAGATATTTAAACACAGATGCTTGCTTAATGTCTTTGCACTCTGTTGCTATATGTGAGTACTTCTTCTTTCTTCCTATTGACATTACTTCTGTCTTTTCACTGTTGATTCTCATATTATTTGTTTTACATTCTTTATTCATGGATGTGAGCTGTTGTTGCAATTTCATGGTGGTAAAAAAATCATTCTTGCTATTTGTTAATCTTTTTTTTTTTTAAATGTGTTTTCTTGCCATTCTTTTTGAGGGAGCAGTGTACCACAGGACTTTGATGCTTGTCTGCTGACCCAAAGGTTTTGGGTTCAAACCTGCATTGAGGCTGATGTTTTCAAAATAATTGTGGCTTCCCCGAGCAACCCATCTTAAAATCGGTACCATGAAACTTCCTGGAAAGTTAATATAGCTGCCATGATGTTGGTCACATCACCCATCTTGTGCCAGTTGGTCTATACAAATGTGGGTCTAACCATATGCCTGATACACTAGTGGATTGAAAAAGGTCCTATACTTTTAACTTATTTACATCCCTGTTTGTATTCCGGGGAAGAAAGAAATTATGACAAGCATTGGCAAGGCATCAGGTGCTATTAAAGGCTTGAACAAAATAAGGAACTCTAAATTGTAAAGTTTTAAAACCAAGTTACGTATTTTCAATTCTAATGTTATTTTCATTTTAACATATGCAAATGAAAGCTGGAGAACCACTAAAGACATGGAACAAAAGTTGAATGTATTCAAAAACAAATGTTTGAGGGATATGGTGACAGTAAAATGGGATGAATTCAGAAGGGGTGAAAAAATAAAGAGAAATATCTGGGCAACCAGTAGTATCACTGGTAATAAGTCAGAGAAGGTCTACATTGGACAACAGAGAATCACCAAACAGGCATTAAATTGGGAAATAAAGGGATTGAGGAGGCGAAGATGCCCAAAAGAAACCCTAAGACGAACGATGAGAGAGGCCAAAGCTGCTGCGCTGGATTCCATCCATGATATTGAACTGATTGCAGAGGATAGATAGGAGTGGAAGAATAGACTGTGAGCCCTAGATGACACATAATACACGAGGATAATGAATGAGAATATGTTCCAGATCCCCGTTTTGAGGTGAAATAGGGTGGACTGGGGAACAGACCCAGTGCCCCTTGATAAGCATTCCATAAAAGATGGCTGATTAACTATTTGCTGAAATTGGATGAGTTGGGCTAAAGAGCACAGATATTGCAGCCTAGCTGTGCACCACAACCCAGTGTGCCAGTGACTTTCTTTAAAGACAAATACAGAAGAAGAAATTACTTGCATTCTGAGCAATTTTGTTGCTTTCTGTGGGAAGCTCTCTGGAGGTGGTCATGGTGGTTGAAGTTTGTATTCATATCGCAGTTTGCGGGCACTCATATACTTTATGATAAAATGGATGTGGTGAAAGCCTTCTGGGATCAGATGGACAGTGCAGTGGAGCAGAGAATCCATACATTGAAAGACTTATTCAGTGAGGAGGGAAAGGAAGTTCTGGATGACATTTTTCTTCTTCACATTCATCAGCTGTAAACTCTGGCTGAAAGTCCTGGTTCATCCACTTCTGGACTGCAGTCCTGTTCCAGAACCTAAGTGTTGCACGTGCATCCATTTGACAGATCTGACTCATTTGTATGCAGACTGCTGGGTCCTTGCCTCTCAGGCAGATACATTCCGACTTTGAAGGAAGCTCCCAATTAGTCGTCTCTTATGACATGCTTTTGGGCAGGCAGTGGGTCTATTCTTGTTTCCCCCTCTAAGAGGGCCCCGGAACCTGGAAGACATTCAAAACTGAGGATCAAACATAGGCAGACTTTTAATCAGGTTGCAACTGCTACTGTTGGCATGTCGACTGTTTGTTGGCTGTTGAAGAAGGGGACAGAGCAAGTGTGGGGGTGTCCCGCATGCAGTAATATCAGTTCTTGATTGATTGATTGGTTCATTCATACGCAGATAAAGACAACATTGCCAGCAAAAAGCGAAAACGCATCCCACTGGACGGCTATGATTTTGGTGGAGACGGCAGCCTTAGTGGTCCAGGTGTGGGTGGTGATGGAGGTGGTGGATATGGTCTTGCTGGGGGAAATAGTCCTGGCAGTGGAAGCCTAGGAAATTCAGGAGGCAGTGGTACAAATGGCAACATCATGATGGTTTTACAGAATAGTGGTAAGTGAAGATTTCACAAATTTATGAATATTCTTTCTAAAGGTGGATTGGAAGTTGTATTGTATGCACCATACAGGGTCATCAAGAATGATTGCCGGGACTTAAAACTGTTATTATAAGACGTTTTTAATGGTTTTACACATGTGGCATCTTAAAATGTTCGGAAAGTTTAAAGTTTTAGATTTACCTTAGTACACATGATGTTTAGCAGTTGCTGCAGTGATCCTCTCTTTAAGTTCCTTGATGTTTCTTAACATTTCAGTGCGGTTTTAAACCTCACAAGATCAGATAAAACTTTAAGCTTTTCTGAAACTTTTATGATGCCGCCTGTGTATATCCATTAAATACTTCTGTTATAACAATGGTTTAAACTCCCGGCAATAAATCTCAATGACCCTGTATATATGACAACCGGGAGTCATTGCTGGCCACAGCCAGTAAGTTTGTGCTTTGTCAAATAGCCTTGCGGGGAGAAACAGAGTTACAAGCGATAAAACACAGTGCTACATATGATAAAACACAGTGCTACATACAATAAAACACAGTGCTACATACGATAAAACACATTGCTACATACGATAGAACACAGTGCTGCATACGATAAAATACAGTGCTACATACGATAAAACACAGTGCTGCATACGATAAAATACAGTGCTACATACGATAAAACACATTGCAGTAAAGTCAGTCTTTTCACCTTTAAATTTGAGTAAAGAATGAATTGAATGGTATGATAGAATCACTAATATAGAGCTTTGGGAAAGGACTAAACACATTTCAGTGAATGAAGAGATCAAGAGATAAGGAAAGGATGCTGGCCTGGGATAAGACACAGATTGAGAAAACCAGATATCTAGAATGTCTTTGCACTGGAACCCGCAGGGTTGAAGTAAAAAGGGCAGACCAAAAAACACATGAAGAAGGGAACTAGAGAGTTAAGTTATAAAGATGGGAAAGACATGGGGTGAGCTGCATGCTATAACAAAGAATAGGACGGCTTGGTGTAATTTTGTTAAGGATCTATTGGGGGTAAAGGTTAGAAGAAGAAGATTGAGTAAGTGAATGAGAGGTTGTTGTGATTGTATCATGCAGTGATTGCTATTGCTTTTTGTCCACGTCCACAGCTTCGCCAGCCCTGTCTCAGTACAGAGTATTACCCACAACTGTAGAAGAAGGTATGTTACCATATTTTTTGTCAGTTATTTTTATGCACTAATTCAACATCTGCTAAAGTCAGAGTGTATGCCTCGCAACACTAAGATCAAAATATATCAAACAGTGATGAAACCAGTCATTTTATATGGCTTTAAAACTTGGAGCACAACTAAAAGAGATGAAGCCTTATTACAGGTTTTTGAAAACAGTCTTATGACGATTCTTTGGACTTATCAAAGATACAAACAGCGTGGAATGGAGAGTGAGAAGCAACAATGAAATTCATAATCTGTTCAAATCACCATTGATAGCTGGCATTATGAGAGCTGATAGACTGAAATGGTTGGGGCATATTGAGAGAATGTCAGATGACAGAGAAGTGAAAACTGTATACACATGGGAGATGAATGGTCGTAGACCACGAGGCAGACCAAGAAGACGATGGAGAGATAATGTCCAGACAGGCCTGCAAACACTTGGTGTCACCAACTGGAAAGAGAAGGCAACCAGAGAGATGAATGGAGGCGGGTGATATCTGCAGCAATGAACCTCAAAGGCTCGGAATGCTGAAGAAGAAGCACTATGCAGCACTAGATACGCAGGCTCATGGACCCCCCCCCCCCCCCTTTTTTTTAAACCCACTTTCCCAGTCCTACACCACCCTAAAAAAGTGTTAGTACATGCAGTAAAGACATGCAGTATGTATGTGTATGGGGGAAAGGGGGGGGGGGATTCTACTACATTAATAATGAAAATAAATCTTCTTCTTTTTTGTAAGCCCCAGCAGAAAGTCTTGGCTGTTTGTCCATCTGGACTTTGGCTTTGTACAAGGGCCTGAGTTTTGCATGTACATCCATTTGCTAGCTTATTTATGTGTCAGTTGGTTGTTCCTTATGCACTCCGACTTCGAAGGAAGCACCCAGTTTATTGACTCCCCTCGTACGACATGCTGGTTAGGGAGGCAGTGGGTCTGTTCTTGTTTCCACTACAAGGGGCCCAGGAATCCATCCATGTGTTTATTCATTTCATTTTTTCATGAGTGAATTGATTGTCAGATAAATAATCTCAGGCTGCTATCAGGAATACATCAGTTAAGTAATTTTGTGAATTCATTTTGTTTGTTTATGTAGCTTGCTGAGGTAACTGGTGAAAGATAAGAAGAAGAAGGAGAAGAAGACTTATGTAATGTGCTGGTGGTGGCTGTGTTGCCGCAACATTCACTTTCCATTTGTGTTTGTTTTATTATGAAGCTCCCTGGTCTACTTTTAATTTTGGTTCTATATCTTTTCATATCGTATAGATAGAATCACGTCATTAAGCAGATGTACTAAATCTACTAAATGAGTCATGCAACTGGTTATGACAGAATGAAGGCATTGTTCATTTAGCATGTCAGGAAATGAGAATGACTGGTTTTCGATATTAGTTTACAAACTGTATGACTAGTTCAGGAATGACAAGTCTGCCAGCATGGACAAAATATGTTATCCTATTATTACCTATATTTTAAAGGATCGGTAGAGCTAGGTGCAGATTTGGCAGACTATACACCAAAGTCTGGCATTGAAGTGGTAACAGTCTGCAAACCAAACTAAAGGTATACAGAGCTGTGGTCCTTCCGATGCTGCAGTATGCTTGTGAAACAGGGACAGTATACAGACATCATGCAGAGAAACTCAGCCACTTCCTTATAGTCTGTCTAAGAAAAATACTGAATATCAAGTGGCAAGACAGGGTCCTAGATAGAGCTGTCATTTCCAGCATTCATACTATCCTCAGACAGTCACAGATTCAATGGGCAGGCCACATCGTCTGTTTGCCAGACGATTGGTTCTTGTAATCGTGTATGATGAGTTGCAGGAAGGCAGATCCCTTCATGGTGGTCAGAAAAAAAACACACGCTTCAGGGACAAGCTAAAGGTATCACTTAAAGCTTTTAATATGGACCCTGATATTTGGGAGGCTGCTGCATAAGACCGAATTACATGCCGATGGCCTATCCGAAAAGGGACTGTGACTTGCGAGACATCTAGAAGAAGTACAGCTGAACAGCGCAGGCAGGCTAGAAAGACGTGTATAACAGGCTCTTTACATACAGAACTGTTCCCTGCCATCGTTGTCTTGAATAATTCTGAGCCTTACTGGGCTTATAAGCCACCTTCCGACTCAGAGAATTCAACTATAGTTTCATGACGGATGAAAAAAAGCGCAGACCTTATCACTTGTGATAGACTAACAACAGTATTTTGAAGACATTGAAAGGTTTTGTAATACAGTGGCTCCCATCACATTACAGACTGCCTGGACATGAAGAGGGTGACTGAATGGGAAATGGAGGCGGGAGACTACCTCAGCCTGATGTAGAGATAACATGTGATGAGACCAAGAGGTTCATTTGAAGCATCCTGGTAAAACAAGATGATGCATACTACCAACTTCTCCGGAGTGAACAGGAAACAGTATTCAGACTGCACAGTCCCTGTATAGGTTCAGGGGCTCCTTGTAAGGAAAATAGAATAGAACCCTCCCTCCCCACAGGCATGTCGCTGGAGCTAACGAATTAGGACTGTTTCTTTTAGACTTGTCGGCTCTGTGGCTAGGTCGATGCAAACGCTTTGTAATGCCAGGATGCCGGGTTCGATCCCAGCTGCAGGCCATGGGCTTTGCATTGTTTTCGACAGTGGTATCAAGAAAGCCGACTGTCCAGAAAGCAGTGGCAAACTACTGGATGTAGATTTGCCTAGAAAAACCACACAACAGCCAGGGGCTGTTGGAGTTGGTTCCTCAACGTCCTGTAAAGGATACACAACTCACTTTTTGAACTTGGGGTGCATCTGCCTGAGGGCAAGGAACCAACACTCTACATAGAAAAAAGCTAAATCTGTCAAATGGATATGCATGCAAAACTCAAGTTCTGAAACAAGGCTAGTGTCTAGAAGTGGGCAGACAGTCAGAACTGTCTGCTGTAATTTAAGCTGGTGAACGCAAAGGAGAAGACTACACAGAATGTAAGTAGGGGGTGACTGCAGTCGAGCTGATTGCAAGAAATGCTAAATATAACACAAAATGCGACTAGAAAGCTCATTGAGGAAATGGAAAAGATGGTTGTTTTTGTGTGCGTCTTTTCCATTCCTTCGTTGAGCTTTGAAGTCACATTTTGTGTTTTATATTTAGCATTTCTTACACACAGAATGTAACAGACTGAAATACTACTTGTTAGATAAAGTAAAGAGCTACTGATAATTGCAGCTATGAATTGATACTGATAGCTTGAAGTGTATTGCCATCATTTCCTACATAAATGGCGCAAAGAAAACTTGACCGACTCCAGGACTTTCTGAGGACAAACTCTGGAAATGTCAGAAAGCTCAGTTGACTTCTGCTTTCTACAAACTGGAAATGTCAGAAAGCTCAGTTGACTTCTGCTTTTTACAAACTGGAAATGTCAGAAAGCTCAATTGACTTCTGCTTTCTACAAACTGGAAATGTCAGAAAGCTCAGTTGACTTCTGCTTTCTTTAAGTATGCTCAGGCTGATTGTTGGAGGTGCTTGAACAAGTAGAAGAAGAGGAAGAAGAGCAGGAGGAGAAGGAGAGGAAGGATTTCAGTTTGTGTCTACAATTCTAGGGAGCTGCAGTAGCGATGAGGCTCTATGTTTACCTGCTGACCCGGAAGTGTTGGGTTCAGATCCACATTGATGCATATTTGGGAGTGAAAGTTGACATTGGTCTATCTATTGTCTTTTTCCGCTGAATGCTGTTAGGTGTCGCTGGCATGGCTAATGATCAGTTTCCTGGATAGTGCACGCTTGTTAGTTTGCTGCAAGGTGATATTGTTGAGTTTCAGCAAGTTGTTGACTCCATCTGTCCATCTTCTTCTTGGCCTCCCTCTGCCTCTTGATGTTTCCTTTCTCTAGTTGTATGCTCTTGCAGCCGGTACGCTGGATTCATTCTGACCAGGTGGCTTCCGTCTTTGCTCTTCAGTAAATCTAATTTGCCAGGTTTAACTTATGGTGGATTCCATGCAATGTCCTAGGAAATAAAAGTGGCTGGCTCAATATTTACCACGTCACCTACTGCCAGACCGAAGATCTTGGATTTGAATCTGCATTAGTGTTTACAAAATTGACCTTAGCTTCCGTGATGTCCTAGCCTGAAATTGGTTTTAGGTCTTCTTTCTTCTTCTTTGCGTTTGGTTTCGTATGCTCTGATGAGACCATCAGGTGGGTTACCTCTATGAACTCGCATGTCAGCAGCAGGTCCTTCATGGTTCCCCATAGCTTGCTCTGCACTCTTTGCTCTTGAGGCCAGGTGTCTTTTCAAAGTTGTAGATAGAGTGGGCAGGTCTGTAGAATGTGCTCAGGTGTTTGTGGTCCTGTTTGACAGGCAAAATGTGGGGACTGTACAATCTTTATTTTATGCATGTGGTAGTTGAGCCTGCAGTGTCCTGTTCGTCAACGGAAAATTATTGTATGTTGCTTTTTGTTGAGTTTGCTGATGCGGTCTTGTGGATATTTACTGTAGTTGGTTCTCTCCACAATTCCTTGTATTTTCCCTCGATAAGTGTTGTTTTAGGTAATGTCCTGGGAAATTAAATACAGCCGGCCTTATAATGATCACATCGCCCACTAAGGACAGACTTGTCTATGAAATGTCTAGCATCATTTTCTCAGTAGTGAAAGAAAGGTCCTTTTACCTTAATTTTACTGAACTGCAGTTCTGATTTTCAAATTGTTTCTTTTCTGCAGCAGAGAAGGAGGAATTAGGAACCAGCTGTGCACTATTAGAGAGTGAACATCTGATGGCTTCAATCAACAGTGCTTCATTATCCAATGATCCATGGATGCTGGATGAGCAGGATATTGAAGTGGATGCTGCCATCATTCCAACTCGCCCGGCTATGAGTACAATAAGGGAACTTCCGTCTGTGAATACAAGGAAACCTCCAGCTGTAAGTGGTCATCATTTTCTACGATTTTAACGTGGTGTAGTGGTCAATCCGTTTGCCTTACAATCTGAAGGTCTTGGGTTTGTTTCATGGATGTTGCATTCAGTTCACAAGTGCAGTTTTTACTAAGATCCATGGAGACTGTTGCTGTGGCTGTGGAGTTTGTGCTTTGTGTGACATTCTCGGCAGGTGGCTAGCCATAATGTAGAGGGAGACCACACCATATGGGATAACCCAGTGCAGTGAAGTCAAACCTTTTGTGTTTAATTTGAACTGTACAGTTTTATTCTGCAGCTGCATTGTATAGATTTAAAACTCTCTTATGTAATAAAATCTTATCTCAGTCGAGGTTAGAAAGAGTATTCTTCCATGCTACATAGAACCAATTCTAGAATGTTGAATTAAGAATTGACATCACAGTACTGAGATAAGTGCTTAGTCCCCATCTTCAGCAGCAAGCTAAGAGTTCCAATTCCTATGGTACCAGTAACTGTCTGATTGTATATCCGTCTCATCCTTCCCCTAAGTTTTGAGCGTCAGCCAGATCCCCTGGTAACATCTTGCAGAACCATTCTCCTTAGACCGTAATCATCTATCTGCACCTCCGCACTGTTCACCTGTTCCTAAAGGGCCCTCCCAATATCTAACTTGTCATACATCAATTCACCACCAAGTGGTGCAGAGCCAGCCGGTCTATCTGACTGCTCATTTCTGAACACATCGGCATGACCTGGAGAAATATCCAAAGGATGCTAACTACCTGGGACCTCTGATGCTGTTGCTTGCCACTCTGCATGAAGCATGCTGGTTTTCACCTTTCTCAACATGCTCTCTGAGTCAGTTACAATCATGGTATGTTGTAGAATCTGGCTATGTTGAAGTTAGTTGCATATCCTTTTCAGGAAATTGCAGAACTTATCCCAACATTATGTTGCTGTTGTGGTTTTTTTTAAGGCAAGTTTATGACCAGTAGTTTGCTATTGATTTCTGGACAGTCGGCTTATCGAAACCAACACAAGGCCTGCAGCTAGGATCGAACCCAGGACCCTGGCATTGAGAAGCACGTTCGCAAAGCCTAAGACACAGACGCTGACATTTGGCTATGAATCCCAGACAATTAGAAAACGAGCGAAACATTCTTTGAAACCTCAGAGATGTGATTTTACAGAAAAATACTTAAAATTCATTTGAGAGCCAAAATTAATAATCCCTGTCTTTTAAAAGGCTAACACCCAACTTGTCACAAAGATCAGAAAGAGGCAGTCTAATTTTTTTGCTGCATTTTAATAGGAGAAAAACTGAAACATGTACCAACAGGTAATGTGGGTTCAGCCGGGTAAAGATTCGACATCACAGCATTCAGGACAAACCAATATTTGCTCCATCTCTCTCTTCAGCAGCTAACAGTGAGTCTCCATATTAATGGTACCTGTTGTCTCTGGTTAACTACTTGTCTTGCCTTTCCTCCAGAACCCACAGACACTCCTCACTGCATCATTCTATCCAGATGCAGGTTTTCAGTGACTTCCATTTTACATATTGCGTCATCCCACAGGCAGGAGTTCACTTCTGCCTTGTGTGGTTGCAGTACATCCCCCAGGTGGGGCCAGTCCAGCCAGACTATCTGCCTGCTTATTCCCTAACACACCTACATAGCCTGGGAAATATATCCATGTCACTGTGACCACCTGCAACCTGTGGATTGTGAACCAAGAACTTCTGATGCAATCTGTGATTGAAGTGTCAAAAAGCCACAGAAATGATCTTTTCCCAAACTGCCCATCAAGGGAACTGAACACCAGTGAAAAACGAGGATTGCACTGTGAAACAACGTTCACTAAACTCTGAGCCACAGAGCCGTAATGTATGCAATCTGCACTAACAGACGTATCGATCAATACACACCTGGAGCATGTAGACAAAAGAGTCTACGCAAACTAGTTTAACATAAAATACTTAGCTGCGACTGTCACGGCTTATAAGTTTTGGCTATATTTTTTTATGGCATTTCATAAGAATTGTTGTCACTACCATCAAACTGTTCATAAATATCTTCACCTTCACTTTCCAGTTTAAAAACATCATGAAAATCTCCCATAGCATCAAAAGTCTTCCCTAAACTGTGCCACCATTTAGGGTGTGATGATTAGCTGCCACTATAAAAACAAAAGCCTAATGCACCATCGACATGGGTGCTCACCCAAAACATTCTGGAAAATATAATTTAAGCAATACAGAATTGTTTCCCTTTAAGAAACATAGAGAAATTAATGGACATTGGACTTCAAGAACTTTACTGCAAAGGTCGGGATTTTAACAGAGTGGCGAGCATCCAAAGTTACCGTCACAGGGGATGCGGTCAAAGAAGCCAGGCGTAACCATTGGCGGATCACAAAACATCCGATCATGGTAGTCAGTGGGTTAATGCCAATGTTATCATTTAGGGTGTACATCAGTAGAGGAGAGGGTTGAAGAGCATAAGGTAGACCATGAACAAGATGGAAAGATAACATTAAACAAACTCTACAGCAGTACAAGGTATCTATGGTTGAGTTGAGTTGAGTCAAGAATTGACCTCACAGCACTCTGGGCATTCCCATGTGTGCTCTGTCCCCATCTTCTGCAGCCAGTGCAGAGTTCCATTACTCATGGTACCGGTCACAATCTGGTTATATGTCCGTCTTGCCTTTCCTCTGAGTGTAGTGAGCCAGCCAGACCCTCAGGTTACACCCAGGTGCCTCATTCTCTCCAGGCCATAATCTTGTTTCTCTACTGATTCCGTTGCTTGTTCCCAAAGGGCCTTGACCACATCTGCCTTATCATGTATCAATTCACCACCCAGTGGTGCAGATCTAGCCAATCTGTCTGCCTGTTCATTACCCGGCATAGCCTGGAGAAAAGATCCTAAGTCTATGGTTGAGGTGGCTAGAAGAGCAAGAAGCAAAACATTTTATATCCCTCGATACTGAAAGTGGTAAAAGAGGAAGTGAAGAAGGGGAAGAATGCCATTGTACCATCTGTCATTTTTCCCTTCTTTTGTTTCAGAGACCTAAAGGAGAACTGTTAAATGAACAAACTCAGCATTCACAAGCATTGACTGCTGACAAAGAACATCAAGAGAAGAAGGATAAAAAACCTGATACAAAATGTCTGCCTTCAGAATCCTCACTTGAATGGTTAGATTCAGGCGTTGATCCAGACAGTGTCAAATCTATCTGTTCCTTGGATGAGAGGAAAGGGTCAATTACTATCAAAGACGCAGGGCAGCAAGTGAAGATGGATGTTAAAAGTGGTGCCAAGGAAGGAAAACTTGAAAGAAAAGCGAGCAGGTCATCAGATATGTCAGAGAATCCCTCAGAATCAGATGGAAAAGTAGAAATATCATCATCATCAGAGGGCATTAGAAGCGATGAGGGCTTTTCAGAAACATCAGAGGAAACAGCAATAAAAGCGCAGCAGTTGTCTCCTCTGAAGTCAAAATGTGAAGGTCATGTGGTTAAACCCAAATTAGGTTAGTGTCTTGATTTTTTTTTTTTGTTGACTGTATTTTCCCCCTAATGTCGGCGTCTGTGGCTTAGGCATTGTGAACGCGCTTCATAATGCCAGGGTGCTGGGTTCGATCCCTGCTGCGGACGGTTTGTCTTACGATGGTTTCGACCATGGTACCGAGAGCCGACCGTCCAGAAAGCAATGGCAAATTACTGGACGTAAATTTGTATACAAAAACCACAACAGCTAGAAAGTGCTGGGGTTGGCTCTGCAACGTTCTGTAAAATATTTTTTCCTTGACTGTTTATATGTACTTTTTCTCAGATTGTTTTAAACAGTTTTTATGCGGGGTGGGTTAAAATTAGAAATGCAGTTCTAAAAAAAGGTTGGCTAAGGCAATCCAAGTATTGGGACAGCTAGTGCCCCCTTTTACAACACAAGGCAATCCCAGTCGGCACAAAGAAACATTTCATACAAAGCATATTCATTCCAACCTTATGCTACCAGTGCCAGACATGGTCACTCATAACAGACCTGAAAAATAATTAAGTAACCATAGAAATTAGATGTTTGAGAAGGGCTGCAGGAGTGACCAGAAGAGATAAAATCAGGAATGAGGTCATAAAAGAAAATGTCGGCACAGAACCAAGTCTGAATTATATACAAAGACAGAAAATCAAATGGTTTGCCCACTTAGAGAAAATAACTTTTGACGTCATACCATATGAGGCACACACCAAAAGAGGAGATGGACGAGGAGCATGAGGTAGACCAAGAACCACTGGAAAGATAATATCAGAAAAACTCTACAACAGCATGATGTGTATATGATTGACGCGACCAGAAAAGCCAGAAGCAGAACCTTATATCTCCCTCGTCAACCAAAGCGGTAAAAGAGGTAGTGAAGAAAAAGATATATATTTTAAGTGTCAGACATTTTGTGAGCTACAGATGGTGAGTGCAGGAGAAACTAAGCGATCCATTGAACACTGTATGTCTATATTATGCCTATACCATATGAAATAAAGAAAAGTGTTTAAGGCGAGAGAATAAACTTTTTTGCACTGGGTTTTATTCCATTTACCTTGGTCTCTCTTTGTAGAGCAGTTGATAAAATAAAGAGAGTGCAACGTTAAGTGTGAGCCCCATAGCTCTGATGGCGATCTGATGCGAAGCAAACACCTTGACACTGTGGACCTTGGACACCCCTTGTAGTTGAGAACAGCTTAGAAATCCAGTTAAGAACAGTTTCAGAAAAATCTGCTCATGATGGTTTACTATTGCCTAATCTCTGGTTTATGAAACACCTGTCTCCCTGCTATACCTGCTGTAAGTCCGGTGTCAGTCAGTCGTAAAATGAGTACTGTGAAATATCATGGGAAGTAAAAGTGGCCAGCATGATGTTGATCACATCATATAAAAAGTAAAAGTAAAGATCTCTTTTCTACGCCTTTAGGTGTATTGGGAATATAGGGCTAGATCTATATTTTTATAGACCAATCAGCACTTGGTGGGTGATGTGGTCAGCATCACGTCGGCCACCTTTACTTCCCAGGACTGCACCTGGTACCCACTCAAGGCTGGATAGACCTGGGAGTCAAGGTCAGGACGTGAACGCACAACCTTACGATTCGCAGGCGGACGTCCTACCTCCAATACCATGATAACTTTTTTATTCACATCATAAGTCACTTTTTATAACATGCGTCTAGCTCCATATGGCTCATGTACCAGTGGCATAAAAAAGTGGCATATATTTTCACTTTTTAGCTGTCTGTTATCTTTCTTTGCTTAATGCTGTTAGGCATCGCAGGCACTGCTGATGATCAGTTTCTGGGATAGTGTGCACTCGTTAGTTTGCTGCAAGGTGATATTGTTGAGTTTCAACAAGTTAACTACATCTATCCGTCTTCTTCTTGGCCTTCCTCTGCCTCTTGATGTTTCTACTCTAATGTAGTATGCTCTTGCAGCCGGTAATGCTGTGTTTATTCTGACCTGGTGGTCAAACCATTTCAGTCTTTGCTTTTCAATAAATCTAATTAAGCTTCCAGCGGCCATGAAACAGAGACAATGTATCAAAGAAACTATTCGCATTTCAGTTGAATTTATTCAGTTTCGTACTTTATTTTATGTTGATGTAACTCTGTAGTAACGCACCTGATGAGATACAGCGAAATATGCATGGCAATAAATTGTGCAATGTATTGTTTGTATCCGCATTATTTAAAATCTAATTACAGTTGTAGTTCCTTCCATTCAAATGATGCCCTCATTTCTTTTTTGGTCTCTTCTTGTTATGTTGACTGTTTCCTCAAACATCTAATTGCACATGCAGTTAGTTTTCAGTCTTGTTTGGCATTGGTAACAGTGGTTTCTTTGCTGTATTACATGTTACTGTGCATGCACCACCTTCTTCTTTCTTAACCCTTTCACCCTGGGAACACTAAAAAAAATAGGTAGTGACCCTGTTAGAATTCCCCTCGAAAAGAATTATATTTAAAAAAAATAATTGTTACACATGTCACTAATAAATTCGTAAAAAATGTACCAGTCCACATTTGGGGGGTTGGGGGGGGGGGGGGGGGGGGGGGGGAGATTATATATAAAGATATATGAAAGGGGAATAATCAGTATACACAAGAAGGGTGAAGCATTTCTCCTGGGGTATGAAAAACACATGTATCGGGGGACTCATGATGTGACCAATTTAGCTCAATTGTTAGGTTTTGACAACGGATCAACATCATGGCACATGGGTAGTAACCCATAAGTGCTTTGTTCTTCTTCTAACTCAAGTCTGAGTGCGAAGAAGCTCGGCACAGTGCACAGGCTCTTCAGCAATACTTTGGGTAGATTTTTAACTCAAAATTTTACCCGGCCAGCGCCGTTAGGCTATGATTTTCAATTTCCAACTACTAAGGGATTTTTTACGTGCACAACAATGCACACAGGCGTCCGATCTCACTACCCAGTGACCAGGGGGAATTACTAGAAGTCCAAGTCCACGTTTTGCTCATTTGAAAACCCCTAAAGCAGGTCACTATAGACAAGTCAGAAAAGTGACATTTATGGGGAATTAGATGCAACCGGAAGTGTCGGTTTGGTGGCTTCTTGGGACGATAAGGTTAAGAGTGACATGGCTTATAAATCAAACAAATTTCTCATTCCCTTCCCTAACTCCTATTCTCCATCTTTCTTTTCCCCGCTTTTTCTCTCCATCCTATCTCTCTCCCCTTTACCTCTCTCTTTGATTAAATTCATTAAAATAAATTTTGGTAATGTGCCTCAATCCACAGATCACTCAGTGAGTCACTGTTCCCAGCTGACAGACACAGTCAGGAAAGTTACCGGTCGTGTGGCAGAACGAACTCTGGCAGCTCTCACAGATTTTGCAGAGACTGGAGATATTCGACATCTTCTGTTAGTGCAGCGCCATCTTATGGCAATCAGCAACAAGAATGGTGATTTGTAAGTTTTTCACATTTTTTTAAAAAACCACATTGTGACACATCCAGAGTGGGTCATATTTGATGATTCTTAGCCAGAAGATGACATATCTGATAATTCTTGGCCAGAATGTGACATATCTGATAATTTTTTGGCCAGAATGTGACATATCTGATAATTCTTGGCCTGAATGTGACATATCTGATAATTCTTGGCCAGAATGTGACATATCTGATAATTCTTGGCCAGAATGTGACATATCTGATAATTTTTTGGCCAGAATGTGACATATCTGATAATTCTTGGCCAGAATGTGACATATCTGATAATTTTTTGGCCAGAAATAGACTTATATGATAATTTTTTGGCCAAAACGTGACATATCTGATAATGTTTTGCCAGAATGTGACTTATCTGATAATTTTTTTGGCCAGAATGTGACATTTCTGATATTTTTTGGCCAGAATGTGACTTATCTGACAATTCTTGATAGTGTAGTTTTGAGGTCCAGTATGGCAGTTGGCCAGTTACCGCTGTAGTTCTGAAAAGTTCTTTATTTTTGGCCACAATTTACTGATGCAAATTCACCATTTCTGGACTGAGAGTCCAAAGAGTCCATCACCCAGCCACTAAACTGTGTACTTGAACAAAATATGGAACTCTAAAGTGTAGTTTTAAAACCAAGTTATGTATTTTAACTTCTATTTTTTTTTTTTTTTTTTTCAGTTGTAACGTGAAAGTTAGAGAACCACTAAAGGCATGGAACAAAAGTTAAATGCATTTAAAAACAAATATCTGAGGAAAATGATGAAAATAAAATTGTATGAGTTCAAATTGAGTGAAGAAATAAGAGAAATGTCTAGGCAACCACTAGTATCAACAGTTATAAGACAAAGAAGATGGCGCTAAATTTGGACACATCCTGATAAGAAACCAGCAGAGAATCACCAAACAAGCATTGAAATGAGAAATAAAGGAATTAAAGATGTCCAAAAGTAATCCTAAGATGGACGTTGATGAGAGAGGCCAAAGCAGCTGGACATCCATTATTAAACTGATCGCACAGGACAGAACAGAGTGGAGGAATAGACTGCAAGCCTAATGTGATATATAATGTCACAACAGGATAATGAATGAATGTGTCAACTTCTACCTTTTATTTACTTGTATATTTGGAATCATATCATCAGATGGAAAATGTGCGACAGAGATTAAAAGCAGAATAGGTCAAGCGAAGGCAACAGTAAAGAAAAAGAGAAAAATCTTACTATAAGTCGCTCTCATTTCATATCAGAAAGAGAGTGCTAAAATGTTACATAGAATCTGTTCTGCTGTGTGGAAGAAAATCTTGAAATGTCAGTGGACAAATTAAGAAGAATTTGGAAGCAACAGAGATGTGGTTTCTGAGATTAATGTTGCGAATACCTTGGATGGCCAGAAAAACTAACAATGATTCTTTGAAAGAAGGTAATGAAAGTAGATCTCTATATACAATAATAAGAAGGAGACAAACACTGTTCTTTGGCCATGTAATAAGAAGAGAGGCATTGGAAAACATCATGACGACTGGAAAGATCAGTGGAAAGAAGGGTAGAGGCAGACCAAGAGAGATGATGCTGGATGGGCTGAAACAATGGCATGGAGGGATATCATCAAGAGAGCTGCTCCAGTCAACCAGGGATTGTGATCTGTGGAGATGCATGAGCGCCTACACCTACTGGAAAGGCACCTGATGATATTTTGAAGTTTTATGAGATTGATTGGTGTAATTTAAAACAGTAGGGCCTCAGGGCTTTATATAGCATGGGGCCTCATCAAGTTTAAATCTGGCTCTGGATGCAAATACTGTTTTGTATAAGTTGACTGTTTTCACTTACAGACCACTTCACCTAGCAGTCATAAACTCCCAGCCTAAAGCTCTGAAAGCACTGTTGGATGTGATGCGCACATTGCCCGTCTCGGAACAGCTCATCAACTCTGTCAACTACCTGACTCAGGTATTGTTAATGTCTGTTTTGTTCATGATGTACTTTTGTCCTTTTTTGTGTGTGTGTGTGTGTACCATTATTATTCCTGCTGATAATTTCAGAATAATGTGGAAGCAAAAACTTACGTGTAATTGTTTTATATCTGTATGTTTGAAATAGAAAGAGGAGTAACGACTCAACACTCAGAGTAAAGACAAGACATATAGTCAGATGCCTGCTGGTACTAGCAGAATTGGAACTCTGCGCTGTCTGCTGACGATTTGACTGGCACTCTGAAGGTTGTAGGTTTGTTTCGCGGCTGCCCGTTCAGTTCACGAGTGCATTTTTTTACAGAGATCCCTGCGGATCGTCGCCTGAGCTACAGATGTTTGCTTTGTGTGATGCTCTCGACAGGCGGTTAGCTATTCTGCGGTGAGAGACTGAGCCATATGGGATAATACTTGGTGCAGTGAAGTCGTTCCTCTTGATTTAACCATTAATTTTAAAGCAATAACCTGGCTGGAGACAGACTTTCAACCATGCCAGCTTTCTCTATGACTCACTGAGTATGCTGAGGAAGACATACGTGAGCTGGAGCCGAAGACAGGGGTTGGTATCTTTGAGACCTTCACTGCTGACAGAGATCAGATTCATTTTTGTACCGGGGCATGCATGTGTAAAGGGAAATGAGCAAGCTCATACTTACAGATAAGGCTGCTGTGGAAGGAAGATGAGCAATGGACCATGCTGATATACTGAATACTTTCTGAGAAGTAAGATTTTTGCAAGAACCCAGTGTTGTTCCTGACTCTGCAGCTATAATCAGACTGCAGAACCATCAAATTGAAGAGGTGTGACCAGACAAGAGCACAACGCAGAAAGTCATAGAAGAAGAATAAACCAACACAGGACTGGTATTGTCAGCTGCTTCACACTGGGGTTTACTGAGGAGGGGATCCAGGCATTTATGGATTGAATTGTTCGATGTTGCCTTGAGGATGATCTATCAATTAACTGACCAATTGAGAATACAGCAACTTTTGTCAGTTTTCATTTTAATCTGTAGTTTATCTCTCTGAGGAGGGGCTGGTTAAGATGTTACAGCTTTGGGCTCTCATGCAGGAACGTGGGTTTGACCCCAGGAAAGGTGATGTCATTTTTTTTTTCTGTAGATGCAAAATTAAACATCCTAACCTGCACAGTCCATGGCAACAGCACCAGCCATATGGCCATAAATCTTCCGGTTCATGACCTGTCCACACCTTCCTAAAAATGGTAAATACAATCAGCATTGACAGCTTGACAGTTCACTCTCTATTAATATATTAAATGTGAAATGTCTCCACCAATACAGACACCCCTGCATCTGGCAACAGTGATGAAACAGAACAACATGGTTGAGATGCTGCTACACGCTGGAGCTGACTCCACTATAGCTGACCGCAACGGTAACACTGCTGCTCATTTGGCTGTCCTAAACAATTCAAGTGCTTGCCTCAAAACATTGGTCAAGTATTTGAGACCAGGCCAGAGCCGGACGAACCCATTCCCTGAGCTGAACTACCTGAATTATGATGGTAAGATTACAATTCATATTTTGGAATTGAATTACTCCATGGTTTGGCCATGTAATAAGATTGGCATTAGACAGAGCACCACAGAGAGCAATGTTATACATATACAATGGTAACAGACCTAGAGGTCGACCACGCAGAAGATGGACCGCATAAATATGTACTGAAAAGTACTTAATATAAAGCAAACAGAAGGACCTGTTCCAAAGATGATGTTCCTGCCCTGATGCCGTGAGGCATTCCGGGAGTAGAGAAAAAAAAGAAGAGGAAGAAGAATTACTCATATGATTAACATTAGGTTCACTACTATATTTGCATGTATTGTATGGTATTTAGTGTAAATATGACTTTGCTGTATAGTTCCTCAGACTTTTTAGACCCAGCTCAACAAAACAGAGGAACTTTTTTTTTAATGGCCCACTGACTGATAACCAAAGCTAGAAACAAAAACAAATGTAGATAGCAGTAATTTTGTTACATTTGATGTCAAAAAAATTAGTTTTCACCTAATGTGGCATCTTCTGCTGTTAGAAAGTATACTGATGTGTAAGGTTTCCAGGATTTGTACCTCTTGTTTCCATCCTTGATGTGTAGGGTTTTCAGGATTTGTACCTCTTGTTTCCATCCTTGATATGTAAGGTTTCCAGGATTTGGAAACTCGTTTCCATCCTTGAAGTGTAAGGTTTCTAGGATTTGTACCTCTTGTTTCCATCCTTGATATGTAAGGTTTCCAGGATTTGTACCTCTTGTTTCCATCCTTGATATGTAAAGTTTCCAGGATTTGTACCTCTTGTTTCCATCCTTGAAGTGTAAGGTTTCCAGGATTTGTACCTCTTGTTTCCATCCTTGAAGTGTAAGGTTTCCAGGATTTGTACCTCTTGTTTCCATCCTTGATATGTAAGGTTTCCAGGATTTGTACCTCTTGTTTCCATCCTTGAAGTGTAAGGTTTCCAGGATTTGTACCTCTTGTTTCCATCCTTGAAGTGTAAGGTTTTCAGGATTTGTACCTCTTGTTTCCATCCTTGAAGTGTAAGGTTTCCAGGATTTGTACCTCTTGTTTCCATCCTTGATGTGTAAGGTTTCCAGGATTTGTACCTCTTGTTTCCATCCTTGATGTGTAAGGTTTCCAGGATTTGTACCTCTTCTTTCCATCCTTGATATGTAAGGTTTCCAGGATTTGTACATCTTGTTTCCATCCTTGATATGTAAGGTTTCCAGGATTTGTACCTCTTGTTTCCATCCTTGATATGTAAGGTTTCCAGGATTTGTACCTCTTGTTTCCATCCTTGAAGTGTAATGTTTCCAGGATTTGTACCTCTTATTTCCATCCTTGATATTTAAGGTTTCCAGGATTTGTACCTCTTGTTTCCATCCTTGATATTTAAGGTTTCCAGGATTTGTACCTCTTGTTTCCATCCTTGATATTTAAGGTTTCCAGGATTTGTACCTCTTGTTTCCATCCTTGATATTTAAGGTTTCCAGGATTTGTACCTCTTCTTTCCATCCTTGAAGTGTAAGGTTTCCAGGATTTGTACCTCTTGTTTCCATCCTTGATGTGTAAGGTTTCCAGGATTTGTACCTCATGTTTCCATCCTTGAAGTGTAAGGTTTCCAGGATTTGTACCTCTTGTTTCCATCCTTGATATTTAAGGTTTCCAGGATTTGTACCTCTTGTTTCCGTCCTTGATATTTAAGGTTTCCAGGATTTTTACCTCTTGTTTCCATCTTTGATGTGGTAATCCTACAGACTGGCTGCAGGAAGAGAAAAACTACCTACTTTTCCATGTTACATGATTAAACAAAACCTTTTGGGGTTCTTTTCAGCTTTTTTGTCCTATCTTGATGGTTGCAAGACTTGGTAGGGAATTCCTGGGTACTTTCCCAGGAGATCCTATAGTATACGAGGGTACGGTTAGTCAGTGCTCATTTAACTAACCCTACAACATTAAGCTGCTATGTTATAGGTGTGGCTTGTGTTAATTGTTTTCACTGTGTTCATCATTTATTGCATCATCATTTCCAGTGTTTGTAACATTTGTTCATTCATCGCCATCACTGTGCCCTGTTTGCAAGCAGTGTTCCTTTTTTGTGACTTCGCCTTTACCTTGAATTCCTCCATCTAACACTAACCAGCGAGTATGCATACACTGAGACTGTCAGTATTTTCAGGGCCCTCCCTCACCACACCTCAAGATCACCTTTTACAGGGCCCGCCCCAAAATATCCCCAGTTCAAACCCCACCGCCTAAGTTCTGCCCAAGAGAAACTTTGGTTCAAGCTGAACTTTACGGGTCGCTAAGTGAACAAATGAAAGAAGAAGAATAAGATGACCTTACCCTAACCCCCGTGTACTATAGGACCTTCTAGAGAAATCCCTAGGAATTCCCTACCAAATCTCGCAGCTCCTGAGATAGGGCAAAAAAGCTGAAAAGTACCTTTTTTTTGGCAACCCACTAGCTGAAGAACACTGATTTAGTGTGAATTTTAATCTACAATTGCTTAGTTGTCTACTCAAGTCTTTCACTAAGTAAATAGGTAAACCATTAGGTACTTAACTAGTTAGTTAATTAATCAGGTTTTCAACATAGCAACATTGCACTAGCCACCTTTACTTCCCTTGACATTTCCTGATACCCATTTTAGTCTAGGTCAACCTGGGAGTCAGAGTCAACTTATTTTTTCACCAGTCTCAAGATGGATTTGAACCTAAAAAATTCAGTTGAGTGTCTAGCCACTGCACCACCTTGGTATCTTTATGGTTGTCACTAGGCAGTTTTATGCTCAGTTGTTTTCCATAGCTTCCTAAAAAAATGTTGATATACCAAATTTTTTTCCTTGCATAAGACTATTTTTTTAGCCCAAAATTAGGAAATAAAAATCCCTATGTGGGTTCTGGGGCCCCGTTGTGGGGAAAACAAGAATAGACCCACTGCCTCCCCAACAAGCATGTCATTAGAGTTGATTATTCGGGGGGCTTCCTTCGAAGTCTGAGTGCATCTGCCTGAGAGGTAATAAACAAACAGTGGGCATACTGTAAGCTGGGTCTGTAAAACAGATGTGCATGCAACACTGCTCTGAAACATGACCAAAGTCCAGAGGTGGATGAACAATCAGCACTTTCCGCTGGTAAACGTGAAGAAGAAGAAATAAATATTTAAAACCCATTCCATAGGTAAGATGGACATCACCACCACCCCCCTCAGTTTTAAACTTAAAAATATGGGGGGAAACATCTGCTCTTATTTATAGAAAAATACAGTAGAAAATCTGTAGAGAACTATGGTAACGTGTTGGCTGGATGTTTGTCTCCTGGCTTCAAATGACTACCAGGTGTTGTCCTGGGAAGTAAAGGTCGTCAGCATTATATTTATCATATCACCAACCAATTGCTAGTTGGTCTATACAAATATGACTCAAGCATCATTTGCAGTGTGGATTATCATGGTATGGGGCGTTGCAGGTCGACCCAGCCTAAAATGGATACCAGGATAGCTGTCCTGGGGAAGTAAAGATGGTCGGCCTAATGCTGACCACATTACCCACCTAGTGCCGATGGTCTGTAAAAATATGGGTGCTTGTCCACGATATGCCTAAAAGTTAGCACACAAGGCGGACACCATGCCTCAAAACCACGCAGCCACCGCCTGTTTTATAATTATAACTCAGTGACCTTATTAGATTTTAATAGTCTGAATTCTTTTAATGACCAAAATATGTTGATAGGATTTTTCATCATAGCGGGTTTTTCAGTACAGTTAAAGAGCATATTGTTTCGTTAAGTACTGGGCGGCAGTGTTTTTTTTTTTTTTACCATGGTTGAGCCAGTAATGAACTTTTCCCGCTGGTGACCTAGAAATAATGGAGGTGGAGTTAAATTGTCTTGCTTAGGAAGTCCCGTTTTCAGCTGTAAATATTTTTGTCACCCTAATGATATGCCTGATATACCACTGGTGTAAAAACTGTCTTTTACATTTTTGGTTTTTATTGTTTTGCAGGCTATTCTCCTGTACACCTGGCTGCACTGACAGGCAATGTAGAAATGCTTCGTACATTAGTGTTTGGTCAAGCTGATGTTGAATTACCAGATGGGAAAAGTGGAAAAACAGCATTACATCATGCAGTTGACAATGATGATCTACCAGTCGCTGGTTATTTACTTATGGAAGTGAGTTTTGTTGATGTCTGCATGCAAATCAAGGCAGATTTGATTTTAACAGTGGACCCTAATTCCCATTTTGACCCAGCCTAAAATGGGTACCAGATAATGTCAAGGGCATTAAAGATGGCCAGTTCACATCATCCACCACCTGCCTGTTGGTCTACATCAAAATATAACACTCTTGCATCATACGCAGAATTAAATCCTCATCGAACCGGATATTTTTCACAACTGACTATTGCTGCTAGGACAGTCCAATCTTAAATAAGTACTAGGTAATTCTGGGAAGTAAAGATGGACCACCGTGATGTTGACTACATCACCGACTGATTGCTGGTTGGTCTGTAAAAAAATATTAGCCTGTCATATGCAAGTATGCCAATGATGCAGCAGGTTTGGGAGGACCAATAAAACAATGGGACAGGTGCACCAACATTGGTGGAAATTATGTTAAAAAGTAAAGGGACACTGTGTGTGTAAAAATCAACGGTTTTCAAGTTTTTATATATATATATATATATATATTTTTTAATTAACCATCTGTGACTTACTTATTGACTTTCCCTCATTTTTTCTTGTTATAACTGAATTTGTTGACCGATTTTTGATGATGCTATGTTTGCTATATCATCTAGTTTAAAAAAAATGTCATTTCTGTTTTATACTTATATCAAAAAAAGATACAAAACAACTGAAAACCATACTTAGAAAACTGTATTTTCTGCACAACTTAGTGTATTAATATGTAATCATTATTTACTGTTATTCTGTCATTGTCCAAGTCTGGCTTTGGAATACAGGATTAGTACAATTATCTTATTATAGAGTGTATCAACAGTTGGTTCCTTTATCTTGTTGACTAACACCTAATGTGTTCATCATGTTTACCAGTGTTTCTTTAGGGCCCATGCACTTATTGTTGAAAAATTGCTAGTTTTGAAGAGTAGCGGTGGTAGTAGTAGTGGTGGTGGTGGTGGTAATATTTTTTCTATTTGGTTACTTTTGGTTATTATGTATTCATTGTAACAGATTATAGAAGTTTAGATTGTTAAGTTTGTTATATTTTAAGTGTACTTTTCAGATAATTGTGTAATGTATCTTCGAGAATATTTAAAGCAGTCTGCAGTACCATTATTGTCATAAGACATATTGACACCTCGGATGCAAACCTTTGCTCTTGTGATAAATAAAGGATGCTTTCTGTGTCCCATATTTAGGCTGGCGCTGACGTGAATGCCAGATGTTTTGATGGCAACACAGCTCTACACATCGCATGTGCTCGCCAGCTGGTTGGCATGGTGGCTCTGTTGATGACAGCCGGGGCAGACTTGGACTGTGAAAACGAGGAGATTCCGGACCCAGACGTGGGAGATGAATCTGGGAAGATGTGCAGAAGGGGTCTTAAACCAGTTGACTATGTGAATGATAATGAACAGGTATTGATACATGAAGAGTGTAGCTGTTTGCACCACTGGGGTTTTTGTTGTGACACTGATGGTGGTTTTCTGGTTTCACTGTTGTAGCAAAATGTAGTAAGATTTTACCTGCATTATAACTGCGTGGTCTTGAGATATGGTATCTGTCTTGAGGGCTGGAGGTCCTGGGGTTCAAACCCCGGTGAAGGCTGGGTTTTTTTCTGTTTACATGGACTTCTAGTAATTTCTTCTGGTCTCTGGGTAGTGAGATTGGACACCCGTGTGTATTGTGCATGTAAACAAATTCCTTGGTAGCTGGAAATCAAAAAGATTACCCTAACGGCCCAGCCCAGGAAAAATTTGTAGGTAAAAATCTACCTAAAATATTTCAGGATCCTTACTGGTGCTACAAAGCCTGTGCACTGCGCTGAGCTGCTTCGGACTCAGACTTTAGTTAGAAGTAGCACGGATCACTTATGGGTTCCTGCCCGTGTGCCATAATGTTGATCCGTTGTTCAAACTGCAGACTTCAAACTGCATTATAACTCTTTTGTTTATTGGATCTATGTAATATAACTCTAGCTTAATGGGCATGTATATAATTCTTTAGTTTATTACACCAGTTTAAGATAACTTTGTCAGCGTCTGTGGCGTAGGCGTAGCAAGCGCGCTTTGTAATGCCAGGATGCCGGGTTCGATTCCAGCTGCGGATGATTTGTCTTGCAGTGGTATCGAGAGCTAACCATTTAGAAAGCAGTAGCTAACTACTGAACGTAACATAAGCCTAGAAAAACCACAACAGCCAAAACATGCTGCAAGTTGGTTCTGCAATGTCCTGTAAAGGATAGACAACAAACTTTTTTGAATATAACTATACTTTATTAAACCCACATTGTACAACTCTAATTTTGTTTATGTGTGTTATGTCAGTCAAGTTTAGTGGATATGTAAATATAACTCTTACTTTATCGGACCTGTATTATATAATTCTGTAGTTATTCAACATATGTAATATAACTCTGGAGTTTATTGGACCTGTATTATATATCTGTGTATGTAGTTTATTATAAACTTGACACAAAACTGATGTTATCTTTATGAGTATACAACTGGACTATCACTTGGGGGAGAGGGGGGGGGGGGGGGGGGGGTTTATTGCAATTTTGTGTGTGTATTATGTTTATCATTAGTTAATTAGTTTATCTTGTTTACCAACATATAGTTCCTTTATCTATTTTATCAAAAGTGTCTTTATATGTCATGTTATAAACTGTTAGCACCCTTATCTCAGATGCTGGTGTTGGGTAGGAAAAGGGAATCAGAGAGAACAGTTTAAAAAAGAAAAAATGAAGAGAGCATGGAATGAACTGCATGCAAAAAAGCAAAGGATAGGACGATTTGGTCCAAATCAAAGCATACTTCAGTGCAATGAAAACATCCTTCTTCGCCTTGTGTTAAAAAATCCAAGGTTATGCCATCAGCAGGGAAGGTTATGCTGGCAGTGTTCTGGGATTGTCGAGGAGTGCTTTTAACAATTTCAAAAAAAAAAAAAAAGAAAAAGGTGACAATGTGAATTATGATTCATACTGTAAAGTTCTATCGATGCTTCATGATGCAATTTGAAAAAAATATCCAGGCCTGCTGACTAAAGAAGTACTGCTTTTTCATGACAGTGCCAGACCACATATGGCTCTGTTAACTCCTGAGAAAATTAACCATCTGGGGTGGGAACTTCTGGAACATCCACCTTACTTAGCCCCGAGCATTTTCTACTTTTTCGGTCCATTGACACCAACCTTGGTGGAAGACATTTCACAAATGACACAGAAGTTGAATGTGAAGTGAAAATGTGGTTTAGAAAACAGAGCACACAGTTCTATGCAGCAGGTTTGGGAGGACTGATAAAACGATAGGATAAGTGCTTCAGTGTTGGTGGAAATTGTGTTGAAAAATAAATGGGACAGTGTATGTATAAAAATAAACAGTTTTTCTAGTTGTTGTCATTAAGGGGCAGTGGACCATTTGTGACTTACTTATTGACTTCCCCTCATATTTTCGGCAGTTGGTCCATTATTATGTTCACCAACTTTTTGATCTTGTTTACAACAGTTTGTTAAGTATGTAAACCAGTTGTGCATCTTATTTACCAGCATATATTTTGCTGATCTTGTTCCAGATTCTGAGAATTTTACGGGGTGAAGCAGGCACAGAAAGTGGTGTCTGTTTCAACGGTAACATCAATGGCAGTGACGAGCTGTCGTCCAGAATGACACACATGTCACTTGACAAGCAGTCGCCCACCTCACAGACATATTCCATCAATGACAGCCTGTCAGACGGGGTCCAACATGTAGCAGGTTTGTTGTTTGTTGCTCTTTGTCTTCTGCTTCTTCTATGTTCACCTGAAAAATGGTGGTTGGCATAAGATGTAGTTTACAGCTAGGCTGTGATATCTGGGCCTTTCAGTCCAATACATCTTATTCCAGCAAACCCCTAATTAAGAAATTCCCCAAAATATTTAAAAAGATTTTACACATGCCACTAATAAATTTATTAAAAACATCTCCATTTACATAATATTGTTTCTGAAAAATATAAAGTTGAAGGGGAGCAATCAGCACATACAAACAGAGTACCTTCCCTTGGTACTAAAATAATGTGTTGAGTGACATACTTGAGCCTGTCATTCTGTCCCTATACAACATCTAACTCATGACAAATTATGACATTACAATGGCTTTAAAAAGCAGTTTTGTTCACAATCCACCACCCCAACCCACCTTAGTGGTATTTTTGATGTATGTAATAAAATCTGGGGCCTCCTAAACACTGTGCAGACATGAACAGCACCAATACCATTAACTTGACTTTCCATGGACAGCAATGCTGGCTAAGCATCATTTACAGAGATTTGTAACAGATGATGATGCCTGATTAACAGCATTATGGGGCCAAAGGGTTAAGCTTGTTTGGTGATTCTCTGTTTGCTTTCCCGCAGGATATGCCCAATATGTCACCATCTTCTTTATCTTAAAACTGTTGATACCACCTGTTGTCCACACATTTCTCTTATTTCTAGCTGTCGTCCCCATGTGGGATGCAATTTTTTTTTATTTGAAGCTACACCCTGGCTTCTGCCGGGGACCCTGAATATAGCCGGGGCATAGATATGGCCTAGCCATAGATACGGCCTAACGGCTGAAAGGGGTTTCTGGGACCTCTCCTGAGGTGATCCTCATCTGCATGGTGGCACTTTGTGTCACCCGGTGTTTATCGCTTGTGTGATGTCCTGGTGAGGTACGACTACCTACCTACCTTCTCTTATTTCTTCGCTTTTCTTGAAGTTATGCCATCTTTAAACAAATAATCATAGAATAAAAATCAGTCTTATCTCATGCGAAGTTTCCATAAACTTGCCGTGATCTTAGAAATACATTAACAATTTCCTCATCTGTTAATCTTGCAAAGTTTCATCTTAATGTCTGTTTTATGTACAGAACCTGCAGACTTGAGCTGTGTGTCCAGCAAGACTCGTATAGAACTTTCTCGACTCTTAGACCCGGCTTTGCCTGGCAAGGATGTTTTAGCTTTGGCAGAGAAACTTGGCTACTCAGACCTTGCTGGCACACTAGATACTATAAGATCTGGAGACACCAGCCCAACTACATTCCTGCTTGAATACTTTGAGGTATGTCTGCTGGCCTTTTGTTGTTGTTGTTGTTCAGTTTCTATTGTATTTGTATGTTTTTGTTTTTAGGTGACTATTCATTCTGGGCACTCGGTTGGAACTTACTTGTGATAAAATATCTTAATATAAACATATGGGTGCAACATACGGGTCTTATTTCAGATCAAGGAATTATCTGCAGTGAAATGTATGAGTGTGCATACAAAGCCTTATTTCAGATAGGGAAACATGCGGGGCCTTATTTCAGATAGGGAATTATCTACAGTGCAACATATAGGTGCAGTATACGGGGCCTTATTTCAGATAAAGTAATTATCTACAGTAAAACATATGGGTGCAACATACAGGGACCTTATTTCAGATAGGAAAATTATCTACAGTGGAACATATGGGTGCAACATACAGGGACCTTATTTCAGATAGGAAAATTATCTACAGTGGAACATATGGGTGCAACATACAGGGACCTTATTTCAGATAGGAAAATTATCTACAGTAAAACATATGGGTGCAACATACAGGGACCTTATTTCAGATAGGAAAATTATCTACAGTGGAACATATGGATGCAACATACAGGGATCTTATTTCAGATAGAAAAATTATCTACAGTGGAACATATGGGTGCAACATACAGGGACCTTATTTCAGATAGGAAAATTATCTACAGTGGAACATATGGGTGCAACATACAGGGACCTTATTTCAGATAGGAAAATTATCTACAGTGGAACATATGGATGCAACATACAGGACCTTATTTCAGATAGGGAAATTATCTACAGTGAAACATATGTGTGCAACATACAGGACCTTATTTCAGATGGGGAAATATCTCAAGCCTGTGAAGTCAGCACTACCAACCTAGGCCTATTTTCTGATGAGATCTCTAAAAGCTGAGAAGTCAGTATTGCCAACCTAAGTCTGTTTCCGGATGCAATATGTAAAACTTGTGAATGTAACATTCCACCTTAGGCCTAATCCATGTGGAATTCTGGGGGAGGTGAGGGATGTGGGATTCTGGGGGATGTGGGATTCTAGGGGAGGTGGGGGATGTGGGATTCTGGGGGAGGTGAGGGATGTGGGATTCTGGGAGAGGTGAAGGATGTGGGATGGGCCCACTGCCCTCAGTAAGCATGTTGTAAATGGGCTATTAATTAGGGGTTTGCTGAAAATGGATGTGTTAGACCAAAAGGTGCAGATATTGCAACCTAGCTGTAAACCACAACATAGCCTACCATTCATAATTTGTAATCCTGAATGCAGAAGAAGAAGATATGAAACCCCCCAGTAGAACATTGCCAACCTAGTTCTGATCACAAATTAAATATCTTTAACCTGTGGAGCAATATGACCAACCTCAGCCTGATCCTAGAGAAAATATCTAAAAGCTGTGGAGACATTAGCAACCTCAACCTAATCCCAGAGTAAATATCTTTATCTTGTGGGTACAACATTACTGGCCTCAGCCTGATCCTAGAGAAAATCTAAAACAGACAGATCTAAAACCGGTGAATGCAACATTACCGACCTCTGCCTAATCCCAGAGTTAATATCTACATCTTGTGGGTACAGCATTACTGGTCTCCGCCTAATCCCAGAGTAAATATCTACATCTTGTGGGTACAACATTACTGACCTCAGGCTAATCCCAGAGTAAATATCTACATCTTGTGGGTACAACATTACTGACCTCAGCCTAATCCCAGGGTAAATATCTACATCTTGTGGGTACAACATTACTGACCTCAGCCTAATCCAAGAGTTAATATCTACATCTCGTGGGTACAACATTACTGACCTCTGCCTAATCCCAGAGTTAATATCTACATCTTGTGGGTACAACATAACTGCCCTCTGCCTAATCCCAGAGTAAATATCTACATCTTGTGGGTACAACATTACTGACCTCAACTTGATCGAAGAGAAAATATCTAAAACCTGTAGAGACAGCATTACCAACCTCAGCCTGATGCTAGAAGAAACATCTTAAACCTGTGGATGGAACATACCATCACCGAGTTAGACAAGAATCTCCGTCATTCCTAATCTGCTATGATGAATCATGACTTAGTTACATTCTGAGATGCCATTCTCCAGATGTGAGCTCCAATACCGCCAGTCTTGTGTACCCTGTAGATTCTAAGCTCAGGGAGACAACCCTGTACTACAATCCCATTAACCCGTCTCTTTAGATAAAAAACAAATCATGACTCAGTTTTGTTGATGGCACCTTTCCACTTTTCCAAATGATAGTGTTAAATTTTGCTGTGCAGAAAGAAGAAATACAGACTAGCGTACGATCTAATAGAGTGTGCTATGCCCTTCAACATCTGTTTAAGTCAAAATCTCTGTTTTGCAACACAAAATAAAATGTTAAAAAAACCAGTTGTTTTATATGGCTCGAAAACTTAAGAGCACAGCTAAAAGAGATGAAGCCTTAATACAAATTTTCAAAAACAGAGTCTCAGGACAAATCTCCGTACCTATCAAAGATGCAAACAGAGGGGAATGGAGAGTGAGAAGCAACAACAAAATTCACAATCTGTTTAAATTACCATTGATCACTAGCATCATGAAGGCTAATGGACTGAAATGGCTGATGATGCGTGCAGTCTGTCAGAGGCATTGCACGCTGGACAAGGAGTCTAGGGGAATCGTTTATAAAAGTGTCTGTTTTCCACTCCTACTCAAAGATTCTCCCACGGCGCCCCACTCTCCTCGACATGGTACATGTTGATGGTGATAAGTGGAGTTAAGAAAGGATGGCGAGCCCAAACAAGAGCACCACTATACCCTGCTGTACACACATAACACATTATCATGTCCACGAGTACTGTTACAAACTATGTTACAAACTATACCACACCAAGTATGATCCTTCATAGTGCCTCAGTCTTTATTGTGGACGAACACCTGGCGACGAAGATGAGTGGTGATCGATGGCACACTGTCGAGTCTTCTCCTGCCTGCTAAATACTCACATCGGCAGCCTCTCCAGACCTGGACAGAACACCCCAGTGAATATTTACCAGGTGACTGCTACCGGCGACTCACACCTGATCGCTCAGATACACCTATGTGATGTGTAGTAACAATCCTCTGACGGTTCATCCCTCTAAACCTCCTCCCCACCCCCCCCCCCCCCCCCCCCCTCCAACCTGAGGACTCAAGATAGATGCACACTTGATGAAAACTCTAGACCTCCTGTCTGCTATCCCAGCCACTCATTGAAGCATCACTGATTAACATCCAGTCAGTCAGCCTCTGATGCTTCCCCATCGCATTCCTATATTGGTCAACATACACAGTTCCCCAGCACCCTCTGTGCATGGACACCGTTAACCAACATACCAACACAGCTGCAATCCCGGCGACCCCATCACACATGGCCGACACAAGTCCATTCTAGGAAATCACACTGACAGCATTCCGATCGTAAACTCATGATCCACCAGTAAACTCATGATCCACCAGTAAACTCATGATCCACCAGTAAAATCATGATCCACCAGTAAACCCATGATCCACCAGTAAACTCATGATTCACCAGTAAACTCATGATCTATCAGTAAACTCATGATTTACCAGTAAACTCATGATTTACCAGTAAACTCATGATTTACCAGTAAACTCATGATTTACCAATAAACGCATGATTTACCAGTAAACTCATGATTTACCAATAAACTCATGATTTACCAGTAAACTCATGATTTACCAGTAAACTCATGATTTACCAATAAACTCATGATTTACCAGTAAACTCATGATTTACCAATAAACTCATGATCCACCAGTAAACTCATGATTTACCAGTAAACTCATGATCCACCAGTAAAAAGATTTACCAGTAAACTCATGATCTTCCAGTAAACTCATGATCTTCCAGTAAACTCATGATTTACCTGTAAACTCATGATTCACCAGTAAACTCATGATCTATCAGTAAACTCATGATTTGCCAGTAAACTCATGATCCACCAGTAAACTCATGATTTACCAGTAAATTCATGATCCACCAGTAAAAAGATTTACCAGTAAACTCATGATCTTTCAGTAAACTCATGATTTACCAGTAAACTCATGATCCACCAGTAAACTCATGATTTACCAGTAAACTCATTATCCACCAGTAAACTCATGATTTACCTGTAAACTCATGATCCACCAGTAAACTCATGATCCACCAGTAAACTCATGATTTACCAGTAAATTCATGATTTACCAGTAAACTCATGATCCACCAGTAAACTCATGATCCACCAATAAACTCATGATTTACCTGTAAACTCATGATCCACCAGTAAACTCATGATTTACCAGTAAACTCATGATCCACCGGTAACCTCATGATCCTTCAGTAAACTCATGATTTACCAGTAAACTCAAGATCCACCTGTAAACTAATGATCCACTGCAATCTTCCAGACAGTTCACAAGAAGGCCACAGAATAAAACCACCTCGTTAGAAACTATCAAATCAGACTGGAACAGCTCGTGCACACAAATGTCCACACACTGAGAGACCGACTTGAAGCTACTGACTCAAGCAACCACAGGACCCTTCACACCCGCAGTCTGTTACCCATGGTTCTCACTTTCTGGCCAACACTCAGGGTTTACAACGCACTCAGTTCCAACAGTATACATGATGTCCCAAAGTTCATCATTAACTTCAGGTGACATAAGTTTTCTGCAGTGACTCAAGATCCCCTATCTTCCAGTGGCCCCAAATGTTTACAGACCCAACCTGTCAACACAATGTCCTGGCTTCATTAAGTCTTTACAATCCTCATTGATTTTGCCCACAACAGTTCTAGCATTCTGAGAGACTGTCAGATGACAGAGAGGTAACAAATGTATACACAAGGAATGGTTGTAGACCACGAGGCAGACCAAGAAGACGATGAAGAAATAATATCCAGACCTGCAGACACTTGGTGTCACCAACTGGAAAGAGTAGACTAACCAAAGAGATGAATGGAGGCAGGTAATGTCTGCAGCAGTAAACCTCAAGGACTCAGAGTGCTGAAGATTAAGTCATTTCCACCTTCCCAAATGGTAGTGTTACACTTTGCTACAGAGAGGCAGGGTAATCAGTGTTCATGGTAGTGGTGAGTGTGACTAGCAAGACCCGCCCGCATTAAGAAAAGTCCATGGGATTTTAGGACCATTGTTCCCATTGTATGTATTAGCTATGTTTCTTCTCAGACAGGCAGGCTGTGATAGAAGTAATGTTCTCTAAATAACCTGCTACATGATGGTGATAACTAAAGGGCTATTTTTTATATCACTGTATTTGATCTCTGTATTGCAGACAGATGAAGGCAGCATATCAAAGTTACGGGATGCCCTGTTAGCAATAGGCAGGAGAGATTTAGCAGCGATGATATCCCCGTGAGAGCTGGGAAATTGCCAGTCAGCATTATTCCAGATGCCATATCAGTATGTGCTTGATTGACTGACTGTTCACTGTTGATAAATGCTTTGTCATTATTTAATTTTTTTGTTTGTTCCCAAAATTGTATTTTGTATGCTGGCTACACTTGGTAGGGGATTGACATTTTTGTGATGCTGATGTCACACAGTTTTGTTTTTGTTCGTCTCAAAAATAAAGTGGGAAACCTTAATTTGTTATTGCATATTATTCCAGAAAAGAAAATAAGTAACCGCATAAATGAGATGTTTGAGAAAGGCTACAAGAGTGACCAGAAGAGATCAAATCATTCACAGAACCAGTTCTGAATTACATACAAAAAACAGCTAATCAAATATTTGCACACATAGAGAGAATGCCTTGTGGCGCCAGACCATACAAGGCATACAGCAAATGATAAGAAGGACGTAGAGTGCAAGATAGACCAAGGACAAGATGGAAAGAAAACAGCAGAAAAACTCTGGTCGAGACAGCCAGAGGATTAAGAAGCAGAACCTTTTGTCTCCCTTGACATCCGAAGCAGTAAAAGAGAAAGTGAAAAAGAAAAAGAAGGGTCCCCTTTACTAAATGTTTAAACCAATTGCTTTGCACTTTTTATGATGATCGTTACAAAGTTTGTGCTTTATGCGATGTTTTCAACGGGCAGCTGACCATTCTGCAGAGAGAGAGAGAAGAGAGAGAGACTGGTCAATATAGGATTAAATCCATTGCAATTAAATCAATTAACTCAGCTTCATACCTTTTTATACTTTTTATTTTCTTCAGTAGTCATCATTTGATATGAATCTGTTCCAGCATGGCTCACAAACATGATCGTGCACGTGTGGTCTTAACTGGTGTTACAATATTTGTCTTGAAGAGTCGCTTATCTTAGTCAGATTTCTTGTCTCTGACTGTCAGGATCTGGGGGAGTCATGTAAAACATGCTCTGCACTCAAGATCTGGGGCAGTCATGTAAAACATGCTCTGCACTCAAGATCTGAGGCAGTCATGTAAAATATGCTCTGCACTCTAGATCTGGGGCAGTCATGTCAAACATGCTCTGCACTCTAGATCTGGGGCAGTCATGTAAAATATGCTCTGCACTCTAGATCTGGGGCAGTCATGTAAAACATGCTCTGCACTTAAGATCTGGGGCAGTCATGTAAAACATGCTATGCACACTAGATCTGGGCTGTCATGTAAAACATGCTCTGCTCTCAAGATCTGGGGCAGTCATGTAAAACATGCTCTGCACTCTAGATCTGGGCTGTCATGTAAAACATGCTCTGCACTCAAGATCTGGGTCAGTCATGTAAAACACCCTCTGAACTCAAGATCTGGGACAGTCATGTAAAACATGCTCTGCACTCAAGATCTGGGACAGTCATGTAAAACTTTTCTTTCGTGCACCACAACTGCATGTGGCAGAGTCAGCCAACCCGTTACATAGATATAAAAAATAAAAATATTGCTACCTATGAGTTTTCTTTCTGGCAGCCTTTCAAAAAAAAGTTGCATAGGTCTGTCTGAAAGGTGCAAATATGACAGTTCTTTTATAGTGGAATAGGTTGACCCGACAAGAAATAAATATAAGGAAATGTTCTAGGCAGTAAAGGTGCCTAATAAGATGTTGACCATGTCGCCCACCGCTACAAGTTCTTCTTCACTTCATCTTTTACCACTTCAGGTGTTATGGGAGATGTAAGGCTCTGCTTCTTGCTGTTCTGGCCACCTCGACCAAAGACTTCATGCTGTTGTATAGTTCCTCTGATGTTATCTTTCCACATTGTTCTTTGTCTACCTCATGTTGTATGTCCTTCTTCTCTTTTTGTGTATGTCTTGTATGGTAGCGTACCAGCTGATCTATAGACATTGCACCATACACCTTACTGAGCCTGAAGGCATCTTCTTCTTCACTCAACTTTAAAAAGGCGGTTGGCACATTATGCTGTGGTTTACAGCTAGCCTGTGATATCTGAACCTTTCAATCCAGAGCATCCAATTTCAGCAAATCCTTAATTAGTTGCCTTTTGCGGCATGTTTGTTAAAGACCCATTCTTTCTCCCAAGGGTTATTTGGCCTCAAGGCTGAAAATGGATCTTTTTAAATTTTCCTTTCATTAAAATATACATCAAAATACAAAATGTACTTAATTCCCAGATGAGCCAGTTTGGCATTATTTGTGTTTAAATTTGTAAGTGATTATGAAGTTTTGTTTGAGAATGAATTAATTGCTATGTGCAGAGTTTGCTAACAAATGTAAATGCTCTTCCTTAGAGGAAAAACATTTTTCTTACTGCTTGTACTGACCACTTTTTACAGTGAAAACAGTTCATAGATGTTATCTGCTGAAGATAGTATACACATTTTGTGTGTGTGGGCAAACTGTGTTTAACCTCTAATGTTAAACTCGTTATATCTTCCATGTAGCTATAGTGCCTAGATTTTGGTTCATTTCATCACCCATTCTTCAAGTCCATGTGAAAACAGTTTAAAAAAACAAAACAATGCAGTGTTTTTTTAAACATAACAAACACATGCTGTTTTGTGTGTGTGCTTTACACACACACAAAAACACAAACATGTGATGTCATGATAGTAACTTCTTATAGTTTGTTTCTGTGCATGTGGGCACAACAGCAGCAAAAAAAAAAACAACAACTAATTTTCAGTGGTTTGTGATAATATTCTGGAATTTACAATTGTCCCCATTTTCAACATTTTGGTCCCTGTGAAAACTTAGCTGAAAAGCCCTCCCCTAGGACAGAGGTTCTCAAACTGGGTGCGGCGGCTACAAAGGTTTGAGAACCCCTGCTCTGGAGGTTACACAAGAGACACTGTAGAGAAAAAGAAGTCAGCTAGTAAAACTGAACAGTTGGGATAGAGTATATGGCAAGACACCCCCATCCCCCCCACCCCACCATCTCTTCCCCCCCCCCCCCCCTCACCATCACCCCTTCTCCAACATAACATAATGTGATTAAAAAGAATAGAACAAAAAGACAAATTACAAGAACTGTTAGCAGGAACATTGAGAAAAACTCATACATAATAGCTATCTTCCCAATAATGGTCCTAAATTATTGAGGCTGAAAATATACCCTAACAGCGCCTCAGTCACATGTAAATTGCGGACTTCCGGCGACTTAAATTGTGCACTTCCAGCGACTACCGCCACTTCTAAAAGTATCTCCCATGCCGCTACGCGTGCACTGGATTGGGGCTCAACTAGTTGGCTGCGACTCACGAGCAGCAGCTACCGCATTTCCATCAGCTTCCTTCATTTTATTTGCTGATGAGTCCCAGCCATCTAGTTAAGCCCCACTCCACGCCACGCATAGCGGCGTGGAAAATACTCTTGGCAGTGGCAGAAGTCCACAGTTTACATGTGACTGAGGCCCTGTTAGGGTATATTTTGGGCCTCGATAATTTGAGACCGTTATTTGGAAGATAGCTAACACAATTTATGTTAAATAGCAAAAGAAACAGTCACCAAAAGTTGGTAATTTAGTGCCCAAATATCAGTGGAAACTGTTTTGTATGCTAAATTTTTTTATTCGATGTTGGACGAGGCACCACGGAGTTCACTCTCCATATGAAGCTGGCAGCACTGTTTTGTTTTCATGCCTGTTTAAGCTGAAAATCCTGATTATTACACATACAAATGTGCTCAACTTCAAAATTGCTTGACGTCCTCTAGAAACTTCCTTACCCCTTGTGCTGATTTGTTGTACTTGTTTATACTGGAGACCATGTGGGTAAGCTCTTTGAATTTGAATTGTTAAAAGTTAAATGTTAGTCTGTGTATGAGATATCAACTCTTTGATTTGTTTCAAGTTATAATGTTAGTCTATGTATGAGATGTCAGCTCTTTGAATTGTTTCAAGTTATAATGTTAATCTGTGTGTGAGATGTCAACTCTTTGAATTGTTTCAAGTTATAATGTTAGTCTGTGTAAGAGATGTCAACTCTTTGAATTGTTTCAAGTTATAATGTTAATCTGTGTGTGAGATGTCAACTCTTTGAATTGTTTCAAGTTATAATGTTAGTCTGTGTATGAGATGTCAGCTCTTTGAATTGTTTCAAGTTATAAAATTTTAAACTATGTGTGAGATGTCAACTCTTTGAATTGTTTAAACTGATCTGAAGTATAAAACTGTATGAGATGTCATTTCTGTGAATTGTTTTAATTAGACTGAAACATGAACTAACTGTACAAATTGTCAACTTTCTGAACTGTTCTCAGTAAGTTAAAATATACAACTGTACAAATTGGCAACTCTTGAATTGTTTTAACCCTCTTGCCTCCGGTAAGGTTTAAAATATAGGCATGACCCATGGAAATTCCAGGAAAAATTCTTTAAAAACAATTCTACACAGGTCACTAATACATTGGTTTTTAAAACACAAAATGTGTGTTGTCTGCATTTTTTAAATACATATTCTCAAGAGATGTAAAGGGAGTTATTAGTAAACAAGAACAGAGTAAAGCATTAAATTAAATACACCTCTGGTGCCTTCAAGAAGCAGTATGCATTGACTCTTGCCATGACCAATGACCTTTAACACTGAGGCTTACAGGAAAATTTAAACTTTAATTTATACACACTTTTTCAATCATAGGACCCTCTCCCCTCCCCCCCCCCCCCCCCCCCCCCCCCCCCCCCACCCTTTCCCCATATTGGCTTCTCTGGACAACAGGGTTAATTAAGTACAAACGTGTTTTTCTTGTGTTTATGCTGAAGAACATCATGCATGTAAACATTTTAAGTTGTTTGAAGTTGAAATATAAAATTGTTTATGTCAAGCTCTTTGAATGAGATGTTAATCATGACTTTTAGCAGCTATTTATTTATGTAAATGTTGTCAGTCTTGTTGAAGTTATGTATTTTTAACAACAAACACAAAATAAAGAAGAAGATTGTTTACTGTGTGTACATTGTCATGTTTGCCTGTGCTGTTGTAGAGTCTAATGTTAACTT